AGCTTTAGCTTGTTTTTGTTCGGATTCAAAATCGGAAACTTTCGTCTGCCATATTTTGCCGCATTTGTTGTTGTGGCTTTGGCTGCTGGGCCACCGAAGCAAATTTCATTATCTCAAGTTGCGGCCGCTTTGTTTGTTTATTTGAGAACTTACTCTCTCAGCTGGGTAAATGTTATTGTACTAAAATGGGTGCTTCGAATAATGAAACTCTTTTTCTTTATATTTATTTACAGGCAAAGGTTAAGTTTTATGTGGATTTTAGTTGACTGTTTTGGGGTTTTGTTTTTTTTTTTTTTTAGTGAAACCCCGAAAATCGATCGCACACGTTTTAAGTTAGTATCACACACACACATACACACTCTCTCACTCTCTTTCCCTCTTCTCACGCTCACACACACAAACACAGGCAGCTGCAGCTGTTTTAAGCCGCAAGGTATGCTACACACTTTTGAGAGGATTTGAAAACTCCGCATAGACAGGATCAAAGTGTTTAGAGTCTTCTCATCTTATTAAATCAATAATTTGCTTTATTTATTTTTGTGTATAATTAATTTATGTACCAAATCAAACGCGGATACAAATCGAATTAATTCAGAACCAGCTTGCCCGACGACTTGCAGCAGAATGCGGAGAATAAAATGCCGAGCAGCCGTCAGCCACAACAACAGCTGCAAAAGCGGCGTCGGCGTCCGGGATGAAAAACTTTTTAACACACACACACACACACTGGGGCAATGGCGAGCCTACATATATTATAGGAAATTTTGATATGAAAACATTGACAAGCAGCCGCAGAAAGCTTTTAGCCTTCAGCTGTGTGCACAAGAGTTCTTAGTTGTTGTTAGTAACGCAGCGGCTTTGGCCGGTATAACAGTTTAGCATTTCAGCATTTTCCGCCTGGACGAAAAATCTTCTTGCGGCACAAGCGGAAAGCTCTCCGAGAACCGCGAAAAGAGAAATGCGAAACGAAGCTGAGGTTTGGAAAAGTTTTTATTCTTAGCTCCTCCGATGGCCGGGCGGCGGAATGCGGCAAACCGAAAGATAAGCGCTTAGCGCCATAACCGAAATGACCGGCCGTTGTGACTGATAAACTCAGGTGATAAGGGGTTTCACCTAGGGGTTTCGCTTCATTCCCAGTTAATAGATTTTTATAGGGTGCGATGCATTGTAAAACCATTATCTTTTCGAATTTCATTTGCCGTTGTCTGGTTGGGAATACGATTTATTCATTTCGACTGTTGGAAAAAATAAATATGATTTAAGTATATTAATTATACCCTTTCAGGGTAATATAGTTTTATTCAGAAGCTTCAAACACTGTGAAAAATTCATTTCCGACCCTATCAATCTTATATATTCTTATATGACCGGCAGAAAAACAAAATTTACAAAAATTGTGATTTTTGAAAAAAAAAAAAAAGGAAAGGGGTTACAAGGGGTTACATTGATAAAAGTTTTCAATTTAAATTGAGTATGTAACCTAATAAAAACTAGCATAGAAACGCTTTCCGAATTGAAATTTATGCATTTTTGATAGAGTTATGATTTGTCGGAAAAATTGTCACATAGAAATATCCCATTTATATAAGGAACTTAAAATATTCTATGTATAGGTCAAAGTAAATGCTTCCTTATATACTTACATTTTTAGAATGTATAAATTTTGTGTGAGATCATTGATCGTTAATTTTAACAAGTTTCGGTAGTGAGCTTTTTATATATTTTTACTGAGTTGAGCAGCGAATAGATCTCACTTGTCGAACGACCGAACGGCAACTAACAGATGACCGAAGCTAACATTATAAGAAAGCCGAGATTGAAGTATACATATATGTATATATCATTAAAATATAGCATTAATTCGGCAGCTACAAGTAGATATATTTACATACGTACATACATACCTTCGGCAGCTTCCCTAGACGACATAGAGTAATACTTTTTCTTTTTCTATTATTATTATTTTTATACCTAGGCAGAGTATTATAATTTAAGTCAAAGCATGCAACAGAGCGAAGGAGTCAATTCCGACCCTATAAATCATATATATTATTGATCAGCATGAACAGCTGACTCGATCTAGCCATATCCGGTAAAAAAATAAATTTTCGAAATTTTTTCAAAATTTTATAAGGGGTTACATCGTTAAAATTTAAAAAAATTAAAAAATAATTTAATTTTTGAAATTTTAAAACTGATTATACAGATTTGTAAACCTTCTAATAATTAGCCCAGAACAGTTTTCCGAATTGAAATGAATGTATTTATGTCTTTGCTATGATCGATTGAACATTCCAAAATTCTGATCCGATGAATAAATGGAGATACCTTTACCTTAGAAGCAACCTCCAAGCTAAAAAAATAAGCTCTAATGTTTATAAACCATAATCAAATAGAAAATTTAAAAAAATATTTATGATTTGAATATAAGAGTCAGCTACAATTCGTGGAAAACTCCAAGATCGGCCCGTGCCCGCTTAGCTTGAGCGAAAGCTTTCAGCGGACAGCTTTCACTCGAAACTCTGCTGCGGAGTGTGTCAGGTGACAACACTGTATACACCGGCAAGTATAATAAAATAATTATAAGGTGCAAAAGATTTTCTTTAACTTTCCCAGCAATAAAAGCTAATGAATCGACAATAACATGGCTTGATTGGATATTAAAAGGTATGTTAAAAAAATATATTATTTTATTTAAATTATATATAATTCAAAAGTGGGCTCTAACACATTCTTTTGATTAGGTTCCTAATTTTATAAAAATTATAAGATTATATAGCTTAAATCTTTTGTCAAAATAAACACAACTTTAACGGACCAGTACCAGTATAAAATTATATACCTTAAATCTCTTGTCAAAATAAACACAACTTTAACGGACCAGTACCCCAAAAGCTTTGCTTGCCGACGAGACTACCTTACAATCATAACACCATGGGACCGGCTATGCAACTTGTTGCGCCGGTTTTCAACGCTCATTCTCGAATCCGTTACCGAATCCCCCGGACGTCGATCTCGCGGCTCTCCGATCTTCTGCTTGGTTTGTTATTGTTTGTTTTTATACTCTGCGCCCAAGTGGCTATCGTTCCTACGTGGGTGTGTGCGGTGGATATATGTACATATATTTACACAATATATTTACGCATAGTTCTGCGTGTGCCGAATAATTGACAGATGTTTAACATTTCGCTGAGACCATTAAACCATCCGAATTGCGAATTACTCCGAGTTTTAATTGTGCCAACCGGTTCGCTGACGATCTGTAATTGTTTTTATGACTCCGATGACTTAAGAAGACACACCCCAAGAAGATACATACTAAATACTACAACGCGGATTTGCATAATGACGACACTTGCTGGCGGGGCTTTGTAATCAGCGCTCTAGAACTTGGAATTCTGCTTGAAATTGGGGTCGAGATCAAGGCACGAATATTCCTCATCGGTGACCCCGACCAGATGCCTATTTTGTGCATAATCAGTTTTGACGTCAGTGCTTCTAAATCCAGTCTCAAAAACGATCCAAATCGGTCGTTAGCATGTTTGTCACGAACACGAAAAGTGAAATCTAAATGCAAAAGAAAGCCAAGCAATGCAGTTTAGGGGGGAAAACCTGACTGAATGCATACAAATATCACATTTACTTGGAATTTTTGTAAGGTTTTCAAGAGATAAGCACAGAACAGTTTGAAAATGTCTGAAAATTATGAGTTAATGGCTTCAAAAATAGGTTGCTTATTCAAACAGTAACTCTAATTTTGTTAAGTACTTAATTTCCTTAATACCTTTGACACCCACTATCTTATATGCAGACATTGATGGAGTGATATTTAAAATATTAAACTTTTATAGTTCAGGCGGTGAAAGCAAATTATCTAAATATAAATTTATAGATGATTTAATTGGGTTTCGTTATTAAACCTAAAAACATAAAATTATTACTTGTAAATAGAAGTTATTGCCCAATATTGAGTCGGAAAATCGTATTAATCATCAAAGCTATTTTCCCTTGTATGACTATGCCTTGTGAAGTCTTTAAGTTTTATTGGGATCTTGGTTCCATTCTCTGATAAGGCCGATAAGTTTATTCCCAGTACTTAAGAGATCCCTTTCATTTATCTTATCGCGCAGCTGGAATCGCTCTGAACAAACAACATCACTCATCACGATGCCCAATCCACTGTGGTTCATCTTCTGGCTGCTGGTCTTCTGGTTCGTCTCCTTCTTCGTGGCCTTCTTCTGTGCCTTCTTCTACATCTGGGTGTATGCCTTCGCCTCCTGCATTCCCGCCCTGACGGTAAGTATTTATGGCAGCGTCTAGTTAGGGTGCAGTAGGCCAGGTGGGCTGAGTCCTAGGGTGGGGTGTGGCTTAGTTTTGGGGATGCGTCATGAATAATACCGGCTAGTTGCATGCGGCAGCTCCTTATCGGTCTCTGTAGATTCTTAACAAATTAGTCATTTCGGAGACTTATCAGGGCCACAACCGGGGCTTATTTCAACCGATATCTGGCCCACCCACACCGCTGATAGATATGTATATACATATGCACACTATACCCTACTGATTCGCTTCGTTACCATTCACAGGGCATATCGGAAATTCTACTGCAGGGCGTCCAGTTTCCATTCTACTGCGGCAAGGCCATGCTGGAGGGCAAGCAGGCCTTCTAAGGGAAATCCCGCTGGCGTATCCGTACTCTAAGTGCCTTACTGATAACTCTTGTTTTCAATCATTTTTACAATAAAGTTTAATTAACTAATATTTATAAATAACTGTGCTTGTGTATCAATTTGTAATATTACGTTGACATAAGACATTGAGCTATCGTCACCACATTAGTGACATCATCGTATGGAATGCAGTTTGTAAATTATTTATTGATATAAAATAAGAAATGGAATCAATTTAGATATATTTTCTTTCAGTTTTTATAATATATATTATAGTATATAAGATTCCAATTTGATAAGACTCTTAATTCATGCAACACAATCTAAAACATAAACACTAATAAATACATTTATTTAAGAAAATCGATTTAAAAAACGTAAGAAATGAAAGCACTAGAAACATTCTAATTTGTCGACATAAGCCACGTCTTCAGACCTCTTCCGATTCCGGCTAACCTTATTAGGTGGTGGAGGCCACAGTCGCATTCTGCTGACCACTGCCTGGCGTTTCTTCTGCTGCCCCAGCTTCTGCGTTTTCAGGGAGATCGAGGTCCTGTTGAACGGCGGGCAGGGATGAAGCCTCCTGTTCGCCAAGGGCGCGCAGCTCAAGCTCTCCGACTAACTGCATCACCCGGATCTTACCCTCGGTGGCTAGCTTGGGCGGCAAAGTCTTGACAGTGGCACAGATGCTGTCAAAGAAGAGCTCCAGGGAATCTCGGGCTGGCGTCTGTTGCAGCTGGAATGACTGCAACTGGCGGGCAGCGTAAGAGGGCGTGGTGCGTGGAGAGGGTGTGTAGCAAGGACCACCGGCTGCTATGGGCGTAATGGTGGCCTTCGAATTTATCTCTGGCCCTTTAACTGCTATACTGGGGGATGCGTTGAGAGCTGACACCTTCTTTATGGTTATTCTGCAGGGCGGAGCTGCCGGCGTCGACGAGGACGGAAAGGTAGAACTGGCGGACGGGGCAGTGGTAGGCAGCTCGTTAATGGTCACATGCAGCGGCAGATAGTCCATGCCGGAATGTTGCGAGTCCGCCAACGAGGTGCGGCGCTGTTGCTTGCTGGCCGGCTCGCGCTCCTCTAGCTCCGCATCCCGCTCTTCATCGGCATCTGGCTCGTAGTCGGGGTCGGTGTCTGCATCGCCGCCGCCCTCCTCCTCCTCGTCATCGTCATCGTCGTCGCCGTCATTGTTGTTTGTAATGTTAATGTTGTGAAGCGGGGGTCCTGGTCCATAGGCCAGTACTACCTCCTCGTCCTCATTATACTCCCACTTCATGACCAATGGTACATCCACCTCCTCCGGTTGCCCCTTGGACTGCATGGCTTTTCTCTGCGCATTTTCCGAGTGTTTGATGCTGCCCTCATGTTTGCCTAAATCGGATCGCTTGCAGGCCAGTCTGCACTCGCAGACGGCGCAGAACACGAAGTGTGGATCCGTCTCGTCCGGCAGGAGCCATGGATATATATCCTGATATTCTGGTTTTGTCTTGGGCCGCGGATACTTTAACTGGCCACAAGGCCGGCGTGGTCTGTATTCTGAACGCAAAGCGTCTCTGTGGGTGCAAGGGTCTGGTTTAAGGAAAATTTTGACTATAGCTTGTAGAATACTCACAGTTTTTCCTGAGTTAGCTGTAGGTTTGCCATTTGAACATATTTTTTCCAAAATATAAACAAATTGACCTGCTGTATGACCGTACTGCAGAAAAGCCAAAAAACCAAAAGCGCATTGCATGCAGAGTTACCCCTCTTGTAAAATAATTTTTTATTTATTTGTTTATATATTTCTGTTTTTGAGTATTGTTAACAAAAGTTCAGATGTTTTTAATATATATATATATATATATTTCTTTTTTTTGATCAGTATCAATTGGTTTGATTAATCTACTAAAATTTTGTATAAGTCTTCTTATTGGTACAGAAAGAATGTCATATGAATATATACATATGTAATACGATCCTATTAAAATGATCGGCAACTAAAAAAATTCTATAGCAATATTGTTTTGCAACATCTTTCTGTCAACCCTGGATATGCAATTTTTATTGTATTAATGTAGCTAAAACTTTTAAATTAAAAGGGCCAATTAAAAATATCCGTCAACATCTATCACATTTATATTATATTGATAGTTGTTTTAACTGTTAACAATGGCAAGTGTTATTACATAATTGAAAGGATATATAGCCTTCGTTCTTGTTTTAAAATAAAAGACGACTCCAATATACAAGGTTCCCTTTATAATTGTGGAAGATGATTGATTGATATTTTAAACGATATCAAAGATACAATACGGTTTTAAAAATGTCTTAAATTTTCTTGTAAATACTCTATGCATATTATAAAGCAGTTTTTAAAGGTTTTTTTTAGGTATTGGAAGCTATTTTCGTATCAAGTTGACGCCTGTGTGAATAGCCCAGCAGGGAAAAAATCGAAGTGTAAATAAGCCATTTCCTTTGCCGGACCAACTTTTGTGGTATTTTTTCAGTATATTTTGGTTTATCTCGCCATTCGCAGGGCTGCCAACCGCAGTTACGGTCACTCTGCCCTTCGGATTGCAAATTTGATTTGTCGCCTGTGTTTTTGCATTGTTTTAAATTTCCAGCGCATGCTGTGATTGCGTGTCGGCCCGGCAACTTTGTGGAAACTACCCGGAGTATATGGGGCTTGAACGCCTAGCCGCAAGGAATGGATGAAGAAAAAACACGGACAGAACTGCTTAACGGAGCGTCCGACGCCGGTCACAAAATGGCGTCGGCGAATCCCGATACTTTGGCCTCGGCCACACACGAGCTGAAAATCATGGACGTGGAGGGAGCGGTGGTGACAGAGCCTCCTGTTGAACCCCCAATGGTTATCCTGGTCGACGACGACGAGCCGGTCGAGGAGATGGAGGAGGAGGAGGAGCAGGAGGAAGCGGACCTAATAGATATCAACATGGACGAGGGCAGTACCCCACTAGTGGCTGAGTTGCAATCGGCGCTGAACAATCCAGACGATAAGCCTTCCGAGGATCCGCTGCTTGGCGATCCTGACAGGGATATCGATAACCTGTCCGCCAAGACGGAGCCGAGCAGCGATGCCGAGAGCAACCACTCGTACCACGATCCCATGGGCCTGCTGGAGCGCATCGAAACGCAAGAGGCCGACAGCCAAGACGAGGACGAAGACTACAGCATCGATGATGGCAGTAGCGCCAATGGCGGTATCACCCGCAAGAAGATGCCGCGTGCCGCGCGCTGGCTGATTTGGATGAAGCGCTGGCCCTGGATGCTGCATGAGGACACAGACGGCACCTACGCCTTCTGCCTGTACTGCAATATGAGCATCAACGTGAACAACCGCTCCAAGCACATCCAGCAGCACAATATGTCGCTGTACCACCAGGAGCGCGAGAATAACTACTTGGCCTTCAAGAAGAGCGAGGAGCAGACCAGAGGAGCGTGAGTACCGAGACCAATATAAACAGATAGTATTTGTTTTGTATTTGTATTTAATTTCTTGCAAATAAAAACCTCAGAGGTAGCACTTACTTATCTCCAATCTTTTGTAGGACCAGTGACAATGAGGTAAAGCACGAATTCGGCACGAAGTCCTATGTGGCCGCTATGAAAAAGAAGCGGATAAGCGAGATCGAAGCCTTTAACAACTTCAACTGGTTGCGGTGGCTCCGTTCCCACCCTTGGTTGGAGCGTTCCCAGGCGCAGGGTACCATGGGTTTGTGCCGCATCTGCAATATCAAAATGAATGTTGAGTTTGTATATCTGCGCAAGCGTCACGAGACCACAAAGGGTCATCAGGAGGCGCTACGTCAGCAGGACTCCGATACGGCAAGCCGCAAACGCAAGCGTAGCAAGAGCACCAGCGGTCCCTCCTTGGTCAACGGGGAGGCGGAGCAAGAGCCACAGCAGGAAGAAGAGCCAGAAGCAGAGGACACCACAGTAGTAACTATTAACGGTCATTTGAATAATAGTGATGACCCCGGCAAGTGGTTTGAGCTAATTCCAGCCACCACTCCACAGCAGTGTCGTTGCACGCTATGCAATTGCCAGATGGCAATCACTAGCTTCATGCGACACTGCAAGGCCAATGCGCACTGCCAGAAGCTAACGGGCCCCCCTCAGAGACGGTGAGTACTACAGTTTACTTAAAAGCTGATACTAAACACCAATATCTATTTTACAGATCTACAACGGAACGTGGGATCTGGGCTGTGTACGCTGATCTGCATCCCTGGATGATTGCGGATCCAGAGGACCCGAATTTAGCCTATTGTAAGGTCTGTCAAAAGCGGTTTATGTACGGTAATTCGGAGATCAAGCGCAAGAACCACGAAAAATCCGAGAAGCACATGTCGGCTCTCGCTGCCGCCAAGGCAGCCGGCGAAGCTAGCATGGCTGATGGGGAACGGGAGGAGGACGGAAGCGAAGAAGATGAGCAGTCGGAGGCTGAGGGGGCTGCCAGTGAGCACACGCAGTCAGAGGCTCGATCGGGGAGCGAAGGCAGCGAAGAAGACGACGATAATTGGTCGGACAAGCAAAAGGGAAATAAGGGGTAGGTGTTCTGTAAAGTCAATATTCACATATGATAATAATATAATAACAATTTTTTTGATTCCAGCCTAGCAGTGAAATCTGTTTCGGAACCAAGAAGGGCCAAGGTACGTGCCGGAGTGCATTTCTACCCGTGGCTATGTTACTCCAAAGACCGGAAAACACAGTTATGCAAGTATTGCCGGGTGCGCTTCCATAGTGAATCGGCAAAGGCGCGGCACGAATTTAGCGCTCGGCATAAAAAGCTTATGAATCAGTTTAAGGCGCGCCAGGCGAAGATGCCGCAAAACACGATGCCTGTCGCTGAAGAGGAGGAGGAGGACGGGCAGAGCAATTCAGACGCGGGCACAATAAACAATAAGGCAGAGACTCAGCCCATCGATAAACTATTCGTAAAGCCCATTCCGGCCACCATGAAGGGCAAAGTAATGGTGTGGAAGAGCCGTTTTCCATGGCTGTCGTACAAGAAGAGCGAGATGCGTGGCAACTACGCATGGTGCAAGCTCTGCGATGTGTCCATCTTCCTGCCCAGCTCTAAGTGGGGCGCGAAACACCAGCGCACCTCACGACACATTCGCCTGCGCAACGAACGCAGGCGCAATGCCGGTCAGCCCACGAGAACGACAGAGGGCATCTCTGCCGCCGTGGCCACTGCCGCCGCTTTGGCCAGTGGCGAGGCCAAACAGAAGGCTGCTATGGCAGAGCTGCAGGCCAAATATAACTGGCTGGAGCCCGATGCCAATGATGAGAATCACTGCCATTGCCGCGTATGCGATACGCGGCTACCGATTAAGGTGTTCTACCTGCGTCAGCACGATTCCTCGCGCAAGCATGCCGACGGACTGGAGCGGCAGAGGAGCAACAACGCGAAGGTAGCTGCGCCATCGGTCAGCACCAACTCGGAAGCCACTGCAGACCCGGAAGTGCAGGAGTCTGGCTTGGACAAGGACAGTGACGGCGACATGAGTGTGAGGTGAGTGGTGGAGTTCCGTCCATCCAAATAGTAGTGCTGATCAGTATATACATATCTCCTCAGATCCGATGGCAGCACGGCAGAGCCGCCGACAAAGCGATCCCGTCGCTCAATGGAGGTTCGCCGTATCCTTCGTGCACTGCGCGATTCTATGGGCAAGCGTCATGAGGAGCGTAGCCAGCTAGACATGGCCAAGGACATGATCTGCTCCTCTTTTGATATTGTCACGCGACTGCGAACAATGGAACGAGAAGGGGCCATGGGACATGGCAACTGCACGGCGCAGGCGCCGGAACCGGTGAAAGTGGCCCCGGCGAATGCACAGCCATCGGAGCCCCGGCATGTAATGGATCTCTTTTTCGACAGCATTGCGCCCACCATGAAATCTCTGCCAGCGGACTTGGCGGCTGAGGGCAAGGCCAAGATCATGCAGCTGGTTTGTGGGTTAGAAGTTCGAGCCATGCACAGGAATACCGCAAAATCAGCTTCTCCCGCTTCTACCTCTGCTCCACCTACCCCAGTTGCTGTTGCTGCTGAAACTCCTTCTGCTACAGTTCAAGCCGCAGCTGTTGACGACGACTTCCATTCCAATGTCATCACAATTAACGACGATGACCAGCTCATAATGAACAATAACAATGACGTGGAATCACCTCCAAATAAGTCAGGCAGCGGGACACACTCTGCGTCTTTGTCCATCAACGGCAATCCAAAAGACCTCCCAGAGAATATACGTCGTATATTGAGTTCTTCCCAACTGCAGGTAACAAATCGCAACGATCCGGACTCCGTCCGATGTGTGCCGCTGGACAAGTTAACGACTCAGAGTCCGATTAGGGTGAATGGAACTACGCGACATAGCCAAGGTGGCTCCTTGGAGGTTCCACCATCAACGCCTGGAGGCGAAACTAACAATAGCAATACCTTGGCCATGCTGCGGCAAATACGCGTGAACAACAACAATAGCTCGAAGATGATCACTATTTCCAAGCCACCCATGCAGGCGCAGCAGCATTCTGCAAGCATATCCTCGACAATGCCGCGGAACACCAGCAGCGGAGCCCATATTAATTCCTTTCGGCCTATAATAAATCCCAATCGTAGACCATAGAGCTAAACAAATCATCACTCATCCATAGCCTTAGATTTTGTCATTGTCATTATTTAATTCACTTTGATTTGGACACTATTTTATGCATATGTTAACGATAAATGCTTGCGGGCACTATATCTATTCCATACATATATATATAAATATTATAAATCGCTTGATGACGAGACCCGAAGAGTCACCTTCAAAAAAGAACAAAAAATTGTAAACTTTTTTTCTTTTTCCCAAATCAATAAGAAACTGGGCTTAGTAAATCGTACCAATAGTTGTTTTATAAGCAGATGAAAAACTTGATAAGTTCTTTTGTTTACAGACTTTTGCCAAGTCTAAATTATAATTAAACTGAATGTATTTACTATACTCAGGCTGGTTGTATTTAATTAAGCCTGCAGCCGGGAATGTCATAGCTCTTAATGATTGATTATGCAGTAGTTTCAGATAAGAAATAATACTCCTTTTTTGTTTCTGCTCAACGATCTCCAAGGCCCGATCGATTGTTGGCAGAAACATCTTAATCACTGTCAAGGGGTTTTTCAGCTCCAGGCGAACGATCTCGGAACTCGGGTTACATTTCAAACTCTTCGACAACAGAAAACTCTAATACTAAACAAAGGAGGCGTTCGATTTTATTGTCACCTTGGATTTTGTAGAACCTACACATTCAACAGTGGTAGGTGTTTTCTAAAGCCAGTATCTCACACGTTTTCATAAAATAAAAATAATTTTTTCGAAATCAGTTTTGAAAGTATTGCCAGCAATACGGTACGGAACAAGATGCCTAAAGTGAAGAAAGCTGTGGACGATGAGCAGAGTAACACGAACTCTGGCACCGTAGAAGTTAAGAAGGCCACCATGAAGGGCAAGGTGACAATGTGGAAAAGCCGCTTTCCATGGATGTCGTACAAGAAGAGCGAGATACGCGACGACTACGCTTGGTGCAAGCTCTGCAAGGTGTCTGTCTACCTGGCCAATTCTAAGTGTGCCAAGGAGCACCAGCGCACCGCACAGCACATTCACTTGGGCAAGCGCAATGGCGGTCAGTCTCAGGCCGCCGCTGCTTTGGCTAGTGACGAAGACAAACAGAAGACTGATATGGCGGAGCTGGTGGCCAAATATAAATGGCTGGAGCCCGATTCCAATGATGAGAATCTCTTCCACTGCCGCGTATGCAATACGCGGATATCGATCAAGGAGTGCTTCCTGCGTCAGCACGATTCCTCGCGCAAGCATGCCGAAGGACAGGAGCGGCAGGAGTCTGGCTCGAACAAGAATACCGATGCCGACGTGAGTGTGAGGTGAGTAGTGGAGTTCTGTCCCCCCAAATAGTAGAGCTTATCAGTATACATACATATATCTCCTCTGATCCGACAACAGCACGGCAGAGCCGCCGGGAAAGCGATCCCGCCGCTCAATGGAGGTCCGCCGCATCGTTCACGATGCCCTGCGCGACTCTGTGGGCAAGCGTTACGAGGAGCGTAGCCAGCTGGACTTGGCCAATGAGATGATCAGCACCTCTTTTGATATTGTTACGCGACTGCGAACACTGCAGCAGAAAGGGGCCATGGGACAATGCAATTGCATGGCGCAGGCACCGGAACCGTTGAAAGTGACCCCGGCGAATACACAGCCATCGGAGCCCCGGCATGCAATTGATATATTTTTTGAAAGCATTGCGCCCACCATGAAATCTCTGCCAGCGGACTTGGCCGCTGAGGGCAAGGCCAAGATCATGCAAATAGCGTGTGAACTGGATGTCCGGGCCATGCACAAGAAAAATCCAAAACTACAATCTTCCCCTGTACCACTCACGCCAGTTGCTGAACCTTCTGCTACAGTTCAAGGCGCCGCTGGTGACGTCGACTTCAATTCCAATATCATCTCAATTAACGAAGATGACCAGATCATGGAGAACAATAACAATGACTTGGAATCATCTCTTAACGCAAATCCAAGTTACCTTGCGGAGAGTAATCGTCGTGTTTGGGCGACAACCCAATTCCAGTCAACGGAGTATTTCTACGACCCCGTGGATAAAAATTAGCCTCATTGGAGGCACAATGTCACTACTCTCCCCATGAATCGACAAAAACAAAAAAATAAAAGAGGACAGCATCCATGCAGTAACATCATGCATCATTCAAATGAAGCGGGGTGCTTCCACAAGCAGAACCAGAAGAAGGATTTTACAATAAATGCTTGTTAGCACGATACTATAACAAATATATATAAGGCGCTACTTGAGAACAAGGGTTATTTTTTTTATAAGCACTTCAAAAACTTGATCAATTTATTTCGTTTACAGACTATTACCAAGTCTAAACAATAATTAATAATTATCCTTACGATACTCTCCAGTTAGTTCTGATTCGGCCACTTGGTGGTTGCTCTTAAGTCTAAATTCAAGATCAGTCGATAAGTTCAGCTCGGTTCTTCTTGATGTCGCTGCTGGGGCTCTGCAGCTGGCAAGCCGTTCTGCAGCACCGAATCGCCCGGCTTCTCATCACTCGTTATTGTTGACAACTCAATTTCCCGCAGTTCGCCAAGGAGACGCCGCATGGAGCTGTGCATGAAGGCGTTCTCGGGCATCTCATAGCCTCCAATGATTGAGGATGCAGCAGGTGTAGCCGTCTGAACTGGAGCTGCAGCTGGCTGTGCCTTTGGCGAAATGCTGCTCCTATTCAGTTGCTTTTGCTCATTGGCTTCCAACGCCTGATCGATAGGGGCCGATCGTGTGTGCAGCGGAAACATGAACTTGACGTCCAGGAAGCTGCATAGCTCCTCGATTCCATCCAGAGTGCGGCCGAGCTCTTCGTTTCCGTTCGCCTGTCTGGCTACATGGTGGCGGACGGTGCCTAAATAAGTTTGTAGTTTGCTCCGCGCTATTTTAATCACTGTCTGGGCATTCTTCAGCTCTAGACGAAGGAGCTCGGGACTCTAGGAGAAACCAAAATCATTGTAAATATAATAGGAAAGAGACCTCAATTCTTACATTTTCTAGATAACCGTCCATAGCCACTCGATGGGAGTCCTGCAGTTTCGCCAGAGCCGAGGAGTCCGCCGCATTGCGCTCCTGCATGTAGGTGATTTGCCGATCAATCTGACTCCCGCTAGTCGCTGCCGATGACTCCGAAATAATGCGAGGTCTTGTACCAGTGGACGGTGGTACTCCTTCCTTGCCCGTTGAGCTGTTGGTGAATGACACACAGGCGAAGGCATTCGCGGGATAGTCAAACTTTTTCGGGTTAAGCATGAAGAGTGCATGCCGCAGCACCAAGTGGACGTCCACGTTGCCGGGATATCGCATTAGATACGTCAACGATGTTGTGTAGTCGCTGAGCAGCACTGAAATGGGAATTAGTCAGAACGGAAAGTAAAATGGGGAAGTACTCACGCTTATCTCGGATGTGGACTAGCATGGCCACTAGAATGTAGTTAGGCAGGTCGAAGCGATCACTGTCGGCGAATATCGCATCCCACAGCAGCAACAGGTCCAGTAGCATGAATTCCCGACCAAAGAGGAGGCGTAGCCAGCGGCTGGAAGGTATACAAATTGTAATTAAAGATTGATCAAACCCTACGTTGTTCGCACAGCACTTAAAATCTCTCCCGCATTTCTGATTGCAACTCACATGCCGAATATGTGTAGCGGGATTTCCATCTTTTGAAGATAGTGGTGCAAGTGCTGGTCTTGCTTGGCGAGTATTTTGTCCCGTATAAAGTTCAGCTGGCTGATAACCTCCGCCTCCGTCTGCGGCTCATTCTCCCCGGGGGCCTGAAAAAAAAGGCCGGCGATAAGGGTTGGTGCACTGACTGCTGATGCACTTGAAAGTGGGGACGTACCTCGGTCCGCTGCTCGATATGGCCACCGGGAGTGGATATCAGATTGGAGACGCGATAGTACGACTCCACAGAAGCCATCAGGCGGGAAAACAAAGAGCTGCACAAGGGAAATACGTTAAAGCATTGCTTATGGATACAGAATATTTAGTGTTTTTCGTACTAGGTATCCGCCTCTAGATAAGCGGGATCCAGCACGTCCAGCAGCGTCGGATTTATGTCGGTCTTCGCCAGCTCACTGAAGTGTAACAGGGACTGGTGATCGCTGTATACCACAAATATGATCGGAGCCAAAATCTCGTGCATACCCTGCCTGTAACACATGTACGGATGCTCTCTGGCGTAGTAGAATAGAATGTTCACCATCGCATTCTGGACCAGAGGCTTCCGGAAGAAGTCCACACCCGGGAAGGTCCGCACCACGTCCTGCCTTATGACGGCGAACAGCTCTTGGTCGCTAAAGTACTGGTTCCACACGCTTTGCGTGGATTGCGACAACGGGTCATCAATGCAGTCCCCAGCCAGCTGGTGGGGATTCCTCACATAGTCCGCCCGGAACTTGTCGTACCGCACCCGCTGCTGTAGCCGCTGGCTGATCCAACTGCGATGCTCGGAGGTCAGGACGCGTAGCAGCAGCGCCCAGTGTATACTCCGGAATTTGGACATCTTGAGGTCTCCGGCAAAGGCCGCCTGCCGAAGGCGTTCAGGCTCGTCATCGAGACTCTTCAGCAGCTGCTCCCACTCCTGGCGGTAACGTTCCACCGAGTTCATTGCTCCCGTGTCCGCAATCGCACCAGGGTTTCCCCGCAAACACTCACTGCTTGCCCTTCCTACCGATCCGTTCAGAGTGATGGCTTCAATGCCCCATACGGTCATCGCTCGTAGCTGGCTGCTTCCTAAATGCAGTCACTTGTCCGCTCCGTCGTCATGTCAACGCTGAATCGGTGCAGAGCAGATAGGTCGCAAAATAAAAACACAAACAAAACAGAAAAGTGCACTTCAATCTTGATTAGACGACAGTGTGACCGCTTATCACAACACGGAATATTGCCAGAGGAGGAGAGCATTGTCCCTTGCTGGCATCTGGTCACACTGATATGTTGAAGACATGGCCGATGACTACCATTTTCCTATTTCCGACTTCCGCCATTGCAACTTTTCAAATATGTTGTTCTTTGCAGGAATGGTACTGACATAGATGTCGTCAGTTTCAAAAATCTTAAGCTTTTAAAAATTTTATCGTGACAGAAAGCCCTCAAATAAGTTCTGTAACAAAAGGCTTCAGTCGTTGCGTCTTTTTGTAATTTTCCAATATTATAAACCAAAATAGACAAATTAATATTTTATTAGACAAAATCCAAAGACAAAATCCAAAATTCCGCTCGGCATTAAGCGAAGCTCTTCTATGCGCTTGCACTAACAACTCATTGTGGCTCTGGCTCTATATCTTGTTTCGGCTCTGTTTCCGACTCCTCACAAAGTTCGTTTAGCTCGTTGGGATCGGCGCAGCATTTCCAGGATTCCTGCACCCCGAATTGATAAACGGTTTCGTGGAAATAGTGCTCTCCGGGATTGATAAATATCCGTGGAAACTCTGGCTGATTTACAGCATCCGGATAGTTTTGCAGTTGCAGACTGAAACCATAATGCTGCCAGTATCGAGTGCATCCCTTCCCTAAGATCGGTTCCTCGCCAAGAGGTTCCTGCGGGAAATTGTTGGCAGTGGAAAACTTCATGCACGGCTGGTTGCTGTAAAGCTCTATGAATCTGCCGGATTCCGAATGCAGGAACCGAGCTATGTAGCGGGTAATATTGGAATCGAACTCCTTGTCGAGGGCATAGTGCACATCGAAGCCGGTCACCTTTTGCTTCTCAAACTGACGTACTCGATCGCCCAAAAACACCGGCAGTCGGATATCGTACACGGTATCATCTACGGCCTTGAAATCCCCCGTGGGCAGACCATTGTCTCCCACAGATTCCATTGTTTCCGCCGCCTCAATTGTCACACGGTGGTCGAAGACACCCCTTATCCCAGTTTTCTGACCAGCAAGATTGAAGTAAATGTGGTTGGATATGTTCACTGCTGTGGTCTGATCGGTGGTGCCCTCGATCCGGATGAAAAACCGATTGTCATCATCGATGGTGAAATGGATTAGTACAAGCAGGTTGCCGGGATACCCCTCGTGTCCGTTCTTCGATATGTGTCGCAGAGTAACGCCATCCGGTCGTATCATGTGCAGATCCCAAATGATCTGGTCGAAGCCCACGTAGCCCCCGTCGACATGGTGCTTCTGGTTCAGGTTCTTCGAGACGATGACCCGTCGCTCTTCCATAATAAACTCTCCCTTGTCCACGACATCCGTGACCCTTCCCAGTGTGCAGCCGAACTTGTACTTCCGGTTCTTAATGTAGCCAGCAATGTCGTCGAATCCGAGGACCACGTCCTCCAAGTGATGGTAGGCATCCGGCGTCTGGATACTCTGAACGGTGGCTCCCAGTTGGATGATGGCCACCGAGAGCCGGTTGGCGTTAGTAATCGTGTACCTACGGACTACCTGGGCCTGCTTCGTGATCGGATTGTTCGCGATACCAAAAATGTCCTCCACAACCTTGATCATTTCTCCAAAGTATTTTTATTTTTTGTTTAATTTTGAATTTAGAGCTCTGAAAATTTTGCTTCAAAGTCAGATCGAAAGTGTTTAAAGTTGTCAGACAGACACAATAAAAAAAAGTTTATCTTATTTTATAATAAATAGCTTTTATTTTATATGTAATATTTTTTAACACTTTTTCCCTAAGCCATCGATTATTAACAAATTTAAGTAAAATAAAAGGACAATCGATGTAAAACTGAAATTTGTATTTCCTTGCAAATGCATCTGCTAACTTTAATTTTAATTCGGAAAGCTTTATAATGTCAATTTTCATTAGGTTAACAAATTTGCATACTCAATTTATAATTTAATTAAATTAAATGTTTTATCAATTTTTGACAGTTTTAACGATGTAACCCCTTATAAAATTTTGAAAATTCTGAAAAAAAAAACATTTTTGTCGGACATAGCTAGATCGACGTGGCCGTAAATGCTGATCAAGGATCAAGGATCAAGGGTCGGAAATGACTCCCTCACTGCGTTACAAACTTCAAACTGAGTTGAGAAATGTGTAATAATTAAATAAATATAAAACACATAAACAATAAAATTACATTAGATAAAAATATGCGACGTTGCCTTGGCTTACATTTATGATTAATGAAATTTTACATTCATTTTGAATATTATTTTCCTTTAATAACTATTAAATTGCAGTGTGGACCAATTATATTTTATAAAAACTGTAGTATTGTTTAATCAATTAAGAATATAGAATAATCAATTTATTTCACAGTCATTAGGTAAAGCTACTTTACAGGCAAACTAAAGCGCATGATTCTTCAACAAGTGAGCGGTAAACATATCGAGGAATTGTTGAGATTTATCTTAAGTAATACAGAAAATGAGTATCTCATTAATTAGATTTTGTGCCGAATCACCAAAGAAAAAAGATTTAACCAAGTACTTGGCAGAGGGAAAAACAACTGAATAGATATGAACCGGACCACAATACTTTTGTATTTATACAGTCAAACTTCATTGACTAGAACATCGGCCACAAAATAGGTACCTCCAACTTACCCAGCTCACAAGTTCTCTGCTCACCGATATACATATGTATATACGTATATTTATATTCCGTCGAATGATAGCTGATGGTATGAGCAGCACCACTTCAGTCTTTAGTGACGCTCTGCTTCTAATGATCAGATTTTGTGCCATTAGAGGCGATATCCAGCAGAAATTATTAATTTATTTGCGCGTTCTGCTTCGCGAATCCGTTTGTTTATCAGTAGTACCCACACACACTCGGGCCCTCACCTATTGGGGTCAATGCTTGTCGCTATAATATGCAACAATTAATTCATGATAATGCCAAAAAGTTGGCATAGCGAACTCCAAACCAGGAAATAGAAGACAATAACGAAATGCGAAGACTGAGATAGAGATGGCGAAGGAGAAAGAGACGCGCGCCGGCGCATTAGCTCGGAATCGAATCGAACGGATTGGCAGAAGTTCCAACTGCTAAAATTGCAAATAAACCAACCGACATCGACATCTACATACATCGGCTAATGGCCACTAAACACTAAAGGTTTCTATTTTCGATGTGCTGTGTGAGCTGTGCCATGACAAGACGGTCAATGTCGTTTTTTGATCTAGTCTCGGGTAATTTTTCTAATCTCTTTGGGGCTTGAACTTGAACGATCCGCGACGGCTTTGACCCAATGACTGAATGTCGAACGTCAGTGGTTGGATGGATGGGTGGCCAATCGGGTGTGTCCAGGGTAATAATTACAGGCTCAAGTACTCGTTGGAGACATGGAATCAGCACTCATACATTTTGTGGAACTGCTGACAAAATTCGTATATACTTGTTGTATGTCAATCATCCGGAAGGACCGATAAAATGCAAATGTAAACTGTATGCAAATGCATTGCATTAACGCACCCAGAAATCCCATCCAGGCTACTACTTATGTCGCCGCACGTATGCGTCACATTGGCTCCGATTTATAATTTCTCGGTCAAAGTCAATGTCAATGCAAATGGCAAAAAGCAGCAGGCTACCAGCTAGCAGCATCTCGCATTCGCATTAATAACTATAATCAGTCAATGGGGCTAGCTGGCTAAGACACCCCGCCCCGGCCCGTACCGTCGTCCCCTGCTACGGTCGAGCCAACCTGTTTTGGCCGCTTATCAAACGCTTCGTTCGTCTTTGGCCTGAGAACTCGTTTGCTATTCGGCTGTCTTTTGGGCCCTGTTACAATTTGCTTTTGCCTGCTTAGCATTTTGTATTTCCTGATGTTTAATCAGCCAGCTGAAGAGACTCAGCCGAGACTTTGGGGTTCACTTATTGGTTTCCCTTCGATGGAAGGGTATCATTACTTTGTGGATTGTTTGCAAGGTTCTACATTTTATTAAGACATTAAAACTATAATTATAATAAAATGTTATATATATAAATTGGTGTTTTGTAAGTAGCATCATTCCATTTTACTATCCAATAAGATATTATTTTTTACAAGATTTTATATTTTCGTATTAAAAAATTGTTTAACAAATAATTGAATTGAAAAGTGCTGTTGTAATATTGTAATTGTAATTTATTCAAGCTTAAGACATATATTTATTTGACTAAAACTAATGAATACTACAAAGAAGACAGTTTAATTTAACCTTGGCCTTGGGAATATATTAACTTACTAATTAGAAATTTAATTGCTCTTTTTTCTAGTCTGTACATGTTTCTACTAAATTCATGTATTCACGAAAATTCGAGTATTTACGAAATCCGAATTAATTGAATTTAAACCTAAATTTATGGACATTTTGGCTGCAATTAACAGAACTCATTGTTTTCTATTTAAACTTACCTTGATAGAGTTCATGTCTGATGGCCAAGGTGAACACATACCCGAAAAAACAGAATATTTTATTTTATTTACCTAACTAATAAGAACTATTTTAGCTTAATTTTTTTCGTTTTTGAAGTTAGGGCATTCTGGATGCTGTCTGATCTTTCTTTGCTGTCACAGCACCAATGCGGTTTTTGTCTTCATCTCTTCATTTGCAACACAGACAACCACGAGGTTAGCTTAGGTCGCTTGGCGTCTCTGTTTTTTTCGCGCAGCATTGGCCTTTTTGTTTGGCTTTGTTTCCATTTACATAATTTAATTACCGCGACTTGGGACTGGGGGTCTGGGGGACGTATCAAGCTGATCGGACCGCCGGAGGTCCGGGCCCAACTTGTTTACTGTTACATCTATGCGGAAGAGTCCGAAGCGGAAGTTTTGTCTGGGCCAAGTCCACCGGCCCACCGGAGTGTAATGAGGCGGGGGAACCAGAATACCATGAAGCACACATTTTAATCGGAGGAGTTGGAATCGGAATTGGAATTGAAATTGGAATTGGTATCCATCCAATCCGATCAAGTATGAAAAGAGCCTTGGAAGCCTGTCAACGTAGCGCCAAAAGGTCACGAGGTTAAATGTAAATGGGGATCGGGAAGGGGGCATATTTCATTCTTTTTTGGATTTCAACGTTTTATATTTATACACTGTGAGCTCACAGGTGGCAGGGGTCTCGTGTTGTCCAAAACTCCAAAACTTGTTATGCCGCCAGTTAAAAAGAATTTCCTATAATTTGATTTAAGATAAATAAATAGCTATTTACCCAAAGAGATTCTGCTAACTAGTTGGATCCGATTTCATAGCTTATAAGCGTGCTGGTTCTTAACCCTGAATTTTAATCAAATAGTAATAAAGAACTGGGAGCAGAATATACCAAGCTAATTAATAATTCATAATAGTAGTAATAATTGTTATTGATTAACTATTAGTTCCAAACTGAGCTTATATTACTTATGTTGTGCTAAAGAAACCCCCACAGATCCGCAGATTTTATCCTCTTGCTTATTTCCTGGGTTTTTGGATCTAAAATTATCTATCTAATCACAAGATCGAATCTCTGTCTCTCACAGTCAAAGTTCTTGATTATTTCATGACGCATATATCTAGGCGCTTGTTTAACTTCGCCTTGACTGATATCGTTGGCCAGAAGGGGTGTTAAGTGTGTTGCCTCCGGTTTATTGAGCTGCCCTACTGGTTTCACTAGACAAAACAAAAAATCAAACAAGGGCCAAACGGCGACTTCTCCCAGGCCAAAGCAGACCTCGGTCTGGGTTCGGGAACCAAGTGGAATGGGCTGGTAACCAGTGCTTACTGGAAACACATGCATATTTATGCAAATCTACTTACACTTGCCGAGAAGTCAAGAATAGAAACCCCCAAAATATATAAATCTGCGGACGGGGCGAAGGTATTTTAAAACGCCAAGCAGGTTTCCGATCTCCCCCAGAATTCTAAGCAGGCTCTCGGCCTTACCGATGCTGATCATGATCGAGTTGTTAATGAAAAAGAGCCAAATGAAGCCAAGCCAAGTCAAATCAATCCAAGTAGCAACGAGCAGAGCACTTGGTGACGACTTCTTAGCCAACTTCCCTCGGCGACGGGACAAGATTCTGTGGAGTGTACGGAAATGCTTTTGCCACCGGCCCATAGCGGCAAAATAGAAAATCAAAAATTTTATAAAGAAATATATATGTATATATTTATGCGACTGACAAAATTTCGGGTGTGGGCGAGCAGAAAAAGTCTTGGGCACGTGATTAATTTGTTAATTTCTGCGACCCGGCGACTCCAATTCATTTTATGGCTTATCAATGTTTTGCATGGCTTATTCTTTATATATTTTTTTGGCAGTTGAAAAGCTTCCCTGTGGTTCGACTGGACAATGCCCTATGAGGTGCTCAAGAACTCTGGCCATATATTCGAGTTAACATACTTTGCAGGGAATTCCCAATGTCTTGTTTTCATTTTTCCGATTACTCTGTGGTACTAAACAAGTTGTAATTGGTCATAAACTGAGTGTTAATGCGTTTTAACGACAGAGTTATGAGCCTACAATTTTCTCGAGGATATATTTCGTTCAATGACAATGCCACAAAGCCAGCTGGCTTTAGTTTTTCATTTTGGTCATTAAACAAATTGTGAAAATATTCATGTTTTGAAGGTGTCATGACCGCAAAAGCAATTCTCAGACACAGAATAAACAAACGTTGTTTTATGCTTACTTTAAATGCCTTAAAAAAGTAGTTGTCAGTTAATATGCTTAGTAAAATTAATTATATTCTGCTCTTATAACATTATTTATATCCAAAATGATTTAGTTGAAAGTATAATTAGAACGGAAATGAACTATGACTGCATTTTTATTGCTTAAATAAATTTTATTCATTCAAATTCAAACATTCAAACGTGCCAGACATCCACGAGAATCCATATGAATGGGCGCGGAGCTTGTGGCCAAAAGAATAGTCTAAAAATAGGGGTACAGGTTTATGATCTTGTGCTAAACCCTAATGGATTTCGTTTGTACACAGCCTGACAAGCACCTCGAAATCGTAAAAGCAATGTTTGATAAATTGGCCAGAGGCACGGCCTGAGAATCGGCAAGTTGGCCAACGGCATTTGGCCAGAAGCGTGTGCTGAGAGAAATGTATTTCGAATAAGAATATTTACATATTTTATGCAAATCGCGTTGATCACAATGTGACAATGAGATCAGTATTACAAAGTCCATGCGGGGCTGCCCTGGGAAGCCATTTAAGCTGTTACCCTTATTTGAGCCTAAAAACATCTTTATCTGTTTCGATATCTGTATCTACACGGGAAAGAAAATCAGAATTCAATTATATTTTATAGGGGTGAAATTATAAGATACCAATAGTATTACAATATATACTAAAATAATTTCAGGAAAGCTGGAATTGATTTATTTTACAGGGAATCTATAAGTGAATTTATTACATACATTTGGCATCTTTTTCTTTGGGTGTAAGAGTTATTGTTTTGGTATCTGTATCTGAGTGGGTACGGAGTACAGCTACGGATATGTAATGAGGCTTTTGTTTGATTTCGTTATTATTTTTCATGGCACATTTGAGGCGTTTGTTGACGTGACATTGTGCTCTTCCTGCGGCACATCAGATATTTGCATAAGCAGATATTTGCATAAGCATTTGGTTAAAGCGATCGCCGGCATCTGGAGGACTGGAACTGGTACTGATTCGATTTTTCACGCACTTTGCACTTGAAAACGCTCCGCTTTGAGACGGCCAATTTGTCAACGGTGAGATGCGTCATTTTGTGGCTGTTTTTTTTGTTTTTTCCGCAACAGTCGCCGGCCTGCATTTCAATTAGCTGCAATTAGTTCAGGCTGTGGGCCAAAAGCCACAAGCCAAAAGCCAATTGCCTCATTGGCTAAGTGAAATTTAGATTAAGTTAAAGCGGAGTTGCGCTTGCTGGTTACTTAGTTACGCCCCACGGAGTTAGGGACAGGTTAACACGGGGCCTTCCAGGCGCGAAACGTGAGGCGGCACTTTGCTTAATGCGAGTACTTATAGGTAATTGTATAATTTGCGTAACTCAAGAACTAGTCAAGAACTAGCCAAGAACACAACGCGACCTTGGCTGGCCAAGCTCACGAGCTGCAGCCACCAATTTTGTTAAGATGCCACTGCCGTTTTGCAAAGTCACAAGCTCTTGGGTTTTAACCACACACAACGACCGCCAATGACGGGCATTTAGTCAGTCTTTTTAATTCCATCTTGGATTTTTCAATAGCACATTGGCCATTATCGAGGAAGGCTTCAGGTGTCATTGAGGGAGTTGCATTTTGGCACTTGAATCTGCAATTTTCACAGTGGCACTCGGTTCTTGATTCTGGAAAAATTGTACTACAAATCACTGAGCTCACTGAGCTAACTAATTTTCAATATTTTGCGTACTTACCTGTCAACTTAAATCAGTAAAACTGGATTTTAATAGATCGCTGTAAGCTTATGCAAACACTTTAACTCATAGCTCTTACTTTCATTTCCAGCTAAGGGAAATTTCCTCTGTTGATTTACGGAAAAAGCCGGCATTGTTTTATATTTATTTATTAACTAACATGAGGTAATTATGGATTTTCTATTTATTTTAACACTTTAACTAAAGGAAAATAAATCTTTGGAAAAATCCCCACTTGGCTTATTTACAACTTTTGTGGATCATAAAATCGTGTAGTGACTTTTTTACTAGGAAATATTTTCACCCGAAGGTAATTGTTTTCTTTATGATTTATGATATAGTATAGGAATATACATTTCTATTAAAAAGCAAAGGAAATTGCTGTTTTTTTAAAGTTTCAAGTTAAGAGAATAACTAATTCTTGTTCTAATTTGATGTCTTTACTTTGAAAGTAATGTTCTTTAAGTTTTAGGGTTAAGGTATTTACTTTAATTTAGCTGAAATTATCCCTTAAAGGTGTGTGATTTACCATTATTTTTAGTTTACCATTCGGCAAATGACATACAAATATTGAACTTTAATGGCTCTTTAGGGGGCACGTGTTGAAAATAAACTCTGCCATTATGCTGATTGATATCGAAAGCCATAAAATCACGGCATGTTGATTTAGTTTGGTTTTCGAGTGTACTGCGATTACTGCCACTTTGCCAGGGAATCCACTGGAAACGTGAGGTCGGGTTAACCGGTTCTAGCCCACTCTGGCAGTGAGTAACCACTATGCATTCGATGATGCCCCACTATGACCTTCAACCGAGTTGCCACAGGGGGCCAAGATGCCGAAGACGATGGCGATGGGGATTGCGATGACTTTGCCAAGACTTTTGCGGTTTTAGACAACGCCTTTGGCAGATGGCAAACAATTTTAGTGGCCGCCACTAAACTAAATTAGACACAACACATTTCAACTTTGCGCCGTGGCGCGTTGGTGTGAAAACCCGGCAATTATGAGCGCGAAAAAACTGTCAACACACTCGGTCTCTTTTTCGGGGCCTTTTTCTTGAACTATTTGCCCAGCGACTCGACAAAGAATCGGCCAATTATTGAAGCGTTTGCTGGCCAAATATTGATGCGGACTAAACAGCTATTAAATGTCGGACACGCGGCAGGAAAATGCTGGGAAAGATAGAAAAAACCAATTAGAATCTGTGACCAGTTCGTCAAAAAGAGTTTTGAATATGCATAGATATATAGCATCGCTATATCGCAAGGCCGAGGTGGCAAACTGGTTGACTGTTTGGCATCTGACATACATCGCGTTATATATGGCCCAGATCCGGAGTGAATTAAGAACGTTATATAATGCCGATTGGAAAACATGTTTCCGAAGAAGCACTTCATTAGCAGGCCAGTTGAGAGACCGAAAAAGAAATCACCGAGCGACGTGCCGAGCTCACTTGAGCGATGTCTTAAGCCGCTTGACCTGCGGTCATAAACTTGGCAAAAAACAAAAATACTAAGAAACCTGGCAAAAATCTTGTGACTCTACTACATATTACGTTTTCCCGGCAGCATACGTGAGTGGAGCCGGGGGATTTCCCCTGGTTTTTCGATTACATCATCGAGGAAAGTGCAAGTGAACTGGATCTATTCTAGGTGATGGTAGAAAAATCTATAAACAAAGCTGCCCGACCGCCACGCGCCGAATATTACCAATACGCATACTTGTATAAACCATGGAATAGGCGACCCCGGCCCCGTATATCCAAGATACAAGATCCGAGCCGATCCAAGTCGATCCATGACGATCCATGACGATCCAAGCCGATCCGAGCCGATACAGTCCGAAGCGAAGCCTGAAGCTAAAGAATCGCCGACTTCGGCGTGGAGAGACGCTTTAAATTTCGGTGTTGTTTAACTTTTGAGGCACTGTCTCCGCCTGCTCTCTCGGCTCGGTTCAGCTCGGCTTAGCTCAGCGTCTAACGATCGATCCAATCGCGGTGCCGTGCGAATTCTTTGGACTAGGCGCTTAAAAAGCACTGCCCGACGCTCTGATCCCTCATACGCCGTGCATTCATCGCGGCTCGTGGACGTGCCGTGTGTTGTGGCCAGAAAAGCGGAATAATTACCACAGATCCTTGTCGTGGGACTGTGAAACGAACTCTGTGTGTAAACAGTGATCAAGTGTTTTGTGAACGATTTCGAATTGATTGGATTTTAGTGACCCTCCCCCCTCCTGCGGATTTTCCACACAATTTTTTGCCGCAACTCAATCCTTAAAGGTGAGTGTGAGACGACAATCAGAGAAGAGTTTTAGTTCAATTGCGTCACAAAAATAGTTTTATTGGCCCGCACTTTGCTTTGCGGAAGTCATCGAAACTATCGTTAAAATCAGCCAAATTTCAAAATCAATCGATGGCACTTCATCAGCACCTCCAGGCTGTGTGATTCACCTATAGGAAATAGCATTCCATAAATCAGCTTAATATGTTTATGAAAAGAACTCTATAAAGCCGCTGACGCAAGTCCAAATTGAGAAGCCAGTGACGCCTCACGTAGCCCTCATAATACTAAAATTATGCTAGCCTTAAACAGATCGAATGGAATTCTATGTCCGATCCAGGAGACTCTGATCGAACCCGATCTCTTTGCTCTTAGCCGCACGCGCTAATTGCGAATGCGGCTTAAGTAGGCGATAATGAGTATGGATGCCACGCATAATGTGGCCATAAGCATATTAAATCGGGCATCTGATATATAGCTGAATAGATGGATAGATAGGCACGGAGATTTTTAAGACGCGCCCAGACCAGAGTCACGTTCCCACTTTCTGTTCTGGGTGCGAGTCTGGGTCCGGCCGGGTGCTTTTCGTATGCGCCAAACGTCGCCGGCTGCGTGCGCTGCCCGATTCGATCAATGGAGGAGCTCTTCCCGTGGTATCAATCACAGTCCGGCATTAGATTTGAGTCAGGTCCCAGAGCTCACTGCTTTCGCAATATATTTATTACAATTCCCCTGTCCGATCTGTGACGTGGTTAGCTAGAGATCGTCTTGGCAGACGGAGAACCTAGGCAAAATCCGAGATCCAAACCCAATGTGAAGTCACGCCAAAACCCCACAAAAAAACCCGTTGGCAACATCAACCTTGATCGGTCTTCGGAGAACCCGAAACAAAAGCAGTTCTATACATAAATTTATCGCGGTTATTTAACTATGCTAATATTCCGGTAAGGATGATTGAGCGTTGGACTCATCCACGGCGAGATTGGACCTGGGTCTGAGCCCATGTGCCAAAGACCGCCCGAAACTAGTTTGATTCTGGCAGCGCGTGGCACCTGCATGACATTAGGCAGAGCCGTTGCCATTGTCTTTTGGCTTTTGCGTATCCTACACTGGCAAGTACTCCCCACTATATTAGCTCATGGCTACAATTGCTTTACAATGCCAAAAGGCCAGCCTGTATTGACCGGGCGAATAAAATTCAAAATACACGACTTGCCATTGAACCGCAACGAGTTAATAGCTGGAAATCTATGCGCCAAGCTAGAGCTTCAGCAACTAATAAGAATAGTTTGTTTTCGAGTCGGTGCGAATCATGCAACCACTCTGAGGTCAACTGGTTAGCCATCCATTCTAGCAGTCTAGTAGAGAGTTGAAGATCGCTTGTTGGAAGTGGGTTACCCACCAGGTGGTGCCACATTTTCCAAGGCACACACAGTATTCAAAACACATAAATTGCAAGGCTTACAAAAAGCAGTGCTGGATTGCAATTCGATGCCAATGAACCACCAAGGCGTATGCGTAATATTAATCATTGAACCCTGCAACCCTAGGCCTACCTTAGCTCATGCATAATTAACAATGCTATTTAATGAAGTCTAAATCGCAATTGAAAAGTAACACAAGCGGGGTCCTATTTTCCAACTTACTTTGTATTACATACTTAGGATTGTCGCAACAAATTTATACAATTTTCCAACCTGTAAATGAATAGACTTTTCTAGTTCTTTATCGTATTTATAATATGATCGAAAGTTTTTTTTAGGTTCCAAAAGTTATTGAACTTTTCTCAGGTTTTCAGTTTAAGAATTTTGGGTTCTTAAACAAACCTTTTCTGGTTTTCAATGTTTAATAAAATTAGATTTGATAGACCCCCAAAAAAACGTTTGTAAAGAATGGATATGCAAATATATCATTCGCCGTGTACAACATAAAAAAAAACAAAATTATTGATTGTTTTCTGCGGGGATTTTGTTGCTTTGGCTTCGGATTCCGTTTTATTCGGAATTCTCTTTTCGCGCTTCCGGCTTGCTATCTTTGTATCAGTTTCGAGTATCATTGAGGCTGAAGGTCGCTCGAGCAGCTCTCTTACCTGGTTACCTGGCCATTGCTGCTGGCCAACCGCTCGCACTCGCCTCAATTGTGGTCCATAATTAGTCGTGCAGCTGGGGATGCCTTCCAAATCGAGAGAGAGAGTGAGCCGCCTCGAAGCATGCCCTGCATGTTAATTAGCACCCACTGATTGATGGCTTCTGTGAGCTGTTGAGAAGACAAAGGCGTCTCGCATGACAGGTCATAAATCAGGACGGAAGCTGTGGAATACCAATACCTATATCTATATGCATCTTTTTCCGCTTTCGCTTGCAGATGACACCCAACATAATAGGCAGTACTTTTATATTGGCCGAGACGGCCATTGCCGATGGCAATAACAACAAGATGGCCGCCACACCCGCCGCTACGGCTAACACTGTGGCCACTCCTGCCCCAAAGGTTTCCAAGAAGGTGGAGAAGCCGGCGGAGAAGCCCTATGAGATGGAGATTGTGTGGCGCAACGTGGGACTCTTTGTCATTCTCCATTCGATGGCCCTGTACGGCCTGTACCTTGTCTTTGCAGAGAGTGCCTACTTGGAGCTCTTGCCAGGTGAGTTTGGTGTCAATGGGTTGCGTAATATCCCTTGCTAATTCTGTACTTCCCCCACCTATATAGTATACTTTAGCATGTTCCTTGGCGGTCTGGGCATTACGGCCGGAGTCCATCGTCTGTGGTCGCACAAGGCCTACAAGGCCAAGACGCCGCTGCGCATCTTCCTCATGCTGTGCCAGTCGCTGGCCTTCCAGAACAGCATCTGGGAGTGGACCCGTGACCATCGTGTGCACCACAAATTCACGGACACACACGCCGATCCCCACAACTCCCGTCGCGGCTTCTTCTTCGCCCACATGGGATGGCTGATGTGCAAGAAGCACCCCGATGTGACCAGCAAGGGCAAGCAGATCTCCATGGAGGATATTGAGCAGGATCCCGTTGTCATGTTCCAGAAGAAGTGAGTTCGAAGCTGGAGAGAGAGTTTTTTTGACCGCGTTTACTGACTCCTTTCCATCTAACAGAATGTACTTTGTGGTGATGCCCATCTGCTGCTTCGTCCTGCCCATGATCTTCCCCTACTACGTGATGGGCAGCTCTCTGCGCGTTTGCTTCTTCACCTGCTCCATGCTGCGCTTCTGCCTGTCCCTGCACTTCACCTGGTTGGTGAACAGCGCTGCCCATTTCTACGGCATGAAGCCCTACGATGTGAACGTGAGTGCAATGAACAACAAGCTGGTCTCCACGCTGACCATTGGTGAGGGATGGCACAACTACCACCACGTCTTCCCCTGGGACTACAAGGCAGCCGAGCTGGGCACCTACAGCTTCAACTGGACCACTGCCTTCATTGATCTGATGGCCAAGATCGGTAGGTTATTTAAATTGCTCCCCTTATTTGGAATAGAATCTAAGCATATACCCATTCTTTTCACAGGACAAGCCTACGATCTGAAATTCGTGTCCCAGGAGATGGTCTACAAGCGAGTGCTCCGCACTGGCGATGGCTCCCACATCGCCGCCCTGCTGGATGCTAATAACAACAATGCCATTCCCACAAGCGAACTGGTTGCCCATCTGGACCATGAGCTGGAGGAGCACGCCATCTGGGGATGGGACGACAAGGACATCAGCGAGGAGGATCGCAAGGGGGCCAATGTGGTGAACAAGGAGTCCGAGTGCAAGCAGGACTAGGGTGTGGGTCTGCTGAAGCGGTGGTTAGCCCAAACGAATAGCCTTCTTGCTGCCACATTGGGTCTGCAGTATTTAATTATATTAATTGCCTATTCTCCGTACTGCCTACGCATAAGTGGTGATTGTTTGCAACCTGAAAAGATCTACATAACACCGATGGGGGGTTTCCCCCTGGGGAGTCCGATCCTGCGACCCGATGACAGTAAGAAGCATCTTATATATCAATGGCTTCAATTCCAAATATAACAATCAACTGAAAAAAACTATTCGAGATTAGTCAAAGCAACTTGTTCGCAGCAACAGAGCCCTATAAATACCCCTAAAAAGTCCCCACAGTCCCCCCCTATCCCTAACTCTGACCCTATCTATTGATATTTGTATATTTACGCAAGAGGTTCTAGAATTAAGCGTACCTACTAAGCCCTACTTTAAGCATCGACTTTTATGTGTGTGTACATTGTGTTAGTTATTTAGGTGAAAAACGAAATATTTAGGTTCAAGCCAACAATTGTTGAAAATTAAAAAAAAAAAAATTATAAAAAACTAAAATGCTGTGTGTTATATATTTAAGGGGTGTTTTTTGTTTTAAAATGTAACAGTAATTTTTACCTTTTCCAAATACCAACTTCGATTTTCAGATCAATTCAAAAGCTTTGAAGAAATGAAGCCACAACACAGGAGACAGCCTTTATTGGAATAACCGGGCCAAGGGATTAAGGACACTAACTGTAGCTTATGTGCTGCTCCTCGTGGGTGTTGAACTGCGTCCTGGCGGCGTACATTAAGGCCGCCATGAAGGCTCCATTGTTCAACACCAGTGACAAAATGGTGGCCATCTTCAGAGCCGGCAGTATAAAAGGAAGGAGACTGCCCAACAGGACGACGGGAAAGATTAGCATGGGCACTGCCACCTGCATCATGGTCACCTTGTATGAGTTTTTCTTTTTGCGCTTTCCCAAAATCCCTCCGCCACCGGCATCTCCACCTGCCACGCCACCTCCGCCACCCAAGCCTCCTTGCTGCTTGGAATCTCCCTCCGGCTCTGGCTCATAGTTTTCCACGCTGCCACTGTTGACGCCACCGCCGCTGATGGAGGGCAGGTTGATCAGGTTCAGATCCATCTCCTCGGTCTCACGTCTCCGGGCACGTCCCATCCGAGATTTGGGAGCTGCAAGGATAGCGAGTCTTATTTTATTAGAAACAGGAAAAGAATAATAGCTCAGGGAAGAAAAAGGTTCCATTTATAGATTTTATTATATATATTAAGCTAATCATAAAAAAAGAAGAATAAATAGGTATGTTAGCCGAAGTTTAAGTACCCGTGCTATTTAAATATACAAGTCTTCATAACTTCGTCAAAAATCCATTAATTTCAAATCGGAAAGCTTTGTAATACTATTTTTATAAGCTTAACAAATCTGCATACTCAACATAAAATTAAAATTTTTATCAATTTTTGACAATTTTAACGATGTAACCCCTTTCCTTATTTGAAAAATTGATTTTTTTTAATTTTGTTTTTCTGCCGGAGATATCTAGAAAGATTCGCCTGTTGATGCTGATCAAGAGCATATATGATTTATAGGGTTGGAAATGACTTCTTCACTCATTTTTTGGCTTCTGACTGCTAGGAAATACTGAAATCTTTCTATTTTCATGAGAAACCCCTAATAATAATTTAATTCAAATTGTATAAATCGAGTTATACAGTTCAGTAGCGGATAAAATTTTCAAGGAGTTCCATAAAGTTAAACAAAACAGATTAGTTAGTTGACTTCACCTTGAGTGGTCAAAAAGATCTGTATAGTAAAACATGAAACCTATTCTATTTCCGAAACAACATTCCAAAATAAAAGTGAGTATTCCTATACACCTGACAAGGTTAAGTATTAAATAGCTTACTATTTAATATATAGTGTTTATGAATGAGGAATATGGTTATGAAAATGTTAGCTTAACCCATAATATATATTTTTTGAGATGTCTAAATTTATTAATTATTCGTTCTATTAAAATCCCTTGCATAGACATCCCGCCATCAATTTCGCGCATGCGTTGAATATTTTGCCACGATCAAAGCTTAAAACCGAACTGGCAGAACTTGTTATGTTAGAATAGAGACACAATGTGTGAAAGTAAATAAATTAATAATTAAATTCATGGAAAAGAAATGAATGAATTGAAAAGCAATTATAGCAAAAGGTCAGATATGTATGAAAATTATTTATAACTCAGATATGGTTTTATTAGCATCCTCCTTTCGAGGCACTTACCCTTCTTAAGCGAAAACTTGAGCTTGTTATCCTTGCTGGGCACAACCTTCACCAGCATTCCGTTGAGGAAGTGCAGCTTGAGGTCACGATGTTTGAAGAAGCGCTGAAAGTTGACCACCAGCCGCTGGTTGAGCTCCTTCTCGGACATGCTCAGGTACTTCTTGGACACCAGACTGCCCATCTGGGTCTCCTCGCCGAAGAACTGGTCCAGAAAGTCACGGGTCAGGTTGCCGGTGCTGGGCATCTTGGTTCTCTCCTCCATCTTCTGCAGCACATACAACTTGGTGCAGTGCAGCATGCTGAACTCGCGGAGACACTCGTAGATCCGCATTGGGATCGACGCCCTAAAGTATGACACACTGTTCGTGGCCGATTGACTGCGGCCCATAGTCGGGTTCGTGTCTTCACTGTGGACATCTTGGCCAAGAGAAAGATGTAGGCTGAGCAGGAGACAGAGGCAGAGTCCGAGCAGGACATGCCAGGACAAGGGCAAGGATCTTGAGGAGCCAGCTGTCATTTTCGAAGTACTTCTACTTTTCTTGCAAAACACAACACACAACTGCACCGCAGCAGTGACAGTGCAAAACTGAATGCATCGCTTGACCAAGAGCCACTGTCATCCTAGACTATCGACTGTCTCTGACCACTACTTTCCTCTGGCCAGGCAACTGGTTTGCTGCTCCGCTGGATCGCCAACGCTCGGCTGGCTCGGCTCTTGGATTTAGTTCAGCGGGTCAGGCGGCGGCAGTGTCTCTTACCCACACCTGGCCCAGTTGCCTGACTTATGGCCAATGCATTCGATTGTTTACAGCCGAAATTCTGGCTCTAATCTCAACCAGAATCAGTTCTCTCGCTCTCTTCGATCTGTGCGGATCTGGTGCACCTGGCTCATGTTCCAGTCCCCGGTGTCCACAACTGGGTCAGGTGCAGTGCGTCTGCAAGTAAAAGTAACTCGATGCACCAGTTATTGGTTGAACACTAAAAATTTCACACCTCATATCGTCGGGGAGAACAGATCGCTAAGCACGAGGCACGTTAAAATTAGGTGTCTATGTTAACTATGTTGTTCTAGTCATAGAAATTAATAAAAGTTATAAGCTTAAGCTTCTATTAACAGTTTGATTTGGTTTATAAAAGAAAATAAAACAGTAGAAGCACTATTATATTTAAATAGGATATTATATTTAAATAGGATTATGTTGTCATAAGTAATATTAATTCTTATGATTATTATAAATATTTCTTTAATAAAATTTCTTATTTGTAATCTTTCCAATTTCAACTTATTACAAGTTTTTTCTTTCATTCAAGACTAGGAACTATTAATTCTGACTCATATATCGCTGCCAGAGTATTTATTAGACGCGTTTCTTTTGTTGACAGACGACAAAATTGCGATAATTGCCACAAAGTGGAACAATTGAAGCCGGATTTAAGATGATCGATTGGCTGGATGACTAGAAAAGTGATTCGCTTTGAATTAAGTGCTGGCGGATCAAGTGAGAGTTAATTAATTAGTCTATAACCATAATGAGGCATGAGTGGCCGACTATCATATCGCCAAAGGAGAAATCCGTGCCTGGCTAATTATCGGTGTTGGTGTGTTGTTTCGCCCAACTGTGACCCATTTTGATTATTTTGGATTGGGGAAGAGTATCCATTGACTTTCTATACATACAGCCGACGTTGACGCTGCGGAAGAGCAGTTAAAAGAACCGTAAATCACGGAAGCCCTTCATGGAATTCGAAATGAGGTAGAAATTTCACTTTTCATAGCAGCGGATAAAGATACGCAATCAATCGAAAATCCATATCTATGGGTAGAAAATTTCAATTGCTGATTAATTATTTGTTTATTAAATATTCATCAAACCTCTTTTTTTTCTCTTCTCTTTAATACTTTCTTAAATATTCAAAATAATTCAATTTCAAATTCGTTTGCCAAACATTTTTCTATTATTTCATTTAATTTCAATTTCACTTTAAAATTTCAGACAGCAGACTAATTTTCTTCACACATTCCTTTTATATAAATATAATCAGAAAATTCTCTGCTGAATTTTCATTTCTGTCATAATTTACTTGCAATAAATAAATAAGTTAAATAAATAATTTAAACTAAACTTAAATTATTATTTGGTTGCATGCTCGCTGAGGCTGAGGTAAATGTGATTCCTGACCTGCTATCAGCTAGCTTTCTCTCCTGATTTATTTCCTTGTCCAATCAAAGGATTGAGTCTCTTTTCCAGGATTTACCACTCCTTCTCCAGCCACACGGGCTGCTGGGTGTGAGAGTGGGAGTAGACCACGGGCACTGGAGCCGGAACGGGAGCAGCGGCATAGGCGGCTGCTGCTTGGACGGGGAGAGCGCGGGACAGCATCTGACCGATGGCCAGCACCAGCAGAATAACACCCACACCAAGACCCTTGATGGAGACCACTGTCAAGGCCGCCAAGAGGGTGGTAATAACGCCCACCACAAAGGCACCAGGGACCAGGGCAAAGCTGATGCGACGCAGGAAATGGTGGCCAAAGGTGCGACTCTCTGGAAAGGGAAAATACAGTTTAGAATATAAAATATTACTTATTTTTGTTAGAATATATTTAAAGAAATGTTGAATATTGTTAGCGAGATGTCTGTAGAAAATCTCTATCCATTTGTCACTTTAGTTTTCGTTTTAAAGCTTTTTTGGTAGTAATTTAGCTCACTTTATATATCGATTTTAGCTTTAAATGACTGAACTATATATATCTGAATTTAAGTTCACTAACCAGCCACATCTGACTCCGCCTCTGAGCTGTTGGCAGCCTGCTGCTGACTCAATCCTAAATCACAGGCCAAAAATAGGCACACGAGAGCAAACACAATCTTTTGGTTGGCAGCCATTTCGATTCGATTCGAGTTTGATTCGATGATAGTTTAGTCCTTTGAGTTTGAGTTTGAGTTGAGTATCCGGTAATCCGTTTGATACTGCACTGCTCCGACACTGGTGAACAATTGAGTGGAGGGTTTACATTGACATTGGCTTTTATCGACGAGGGTCTGGGCCGGCCCACGGGTCGGCTACTTGAAATTCGACAGCCGGACATCGCGCAGCCGCAGCGTCGCACGAACGTGCGCCAAAACAAGCAAATCGTGCCGCATCCATACGGCTCGCACTGCCATCAGTTGTTGCCCCCGAATATGACTAGGTACACTGAGAAAAAATACTAAGAACATATTTTATATTTTCTTAAAACTTCGAATAGCACCAGCCGCTTATTTTCCTACTTTGTAGTTACAATTGCAATTTATTTATGTGATTAATTAATTCTTTATATTAGAATACTCTTTTGCAGTGCAGTGCTTTGAATATGCATACAATAGGTCGTCATTTTCACTCCCGGCAAGCGACCCTTTTCGGTCTCAATCGCATTTGGTGGTGTAATGCATTGGAACTTGGTTGTGGACATGGACTTGGACATGGGCATTCTTTCACGACGCGTGCCTATATTGAGGGCAGCACCCAAGTTCGATTCGCTTTCATTTTTCGTCGCTGCCCGAGTATGATTTATCAGCTAATTAACAATAAGGTACTGCATTTTAATTTTAAATCATTAATCAGGGGGTACTAAGTCAGCATATAGCTGTATAACGGATTTTCATTGACAAATTGCTTGGCCCCTTGGCATTACAATTCACTTTCATTCACGGAAATCTTGAAAAATGTGCCCATAGCTAGTGAGTCATTTATTTATTTTACTTTATACTTAAAATATTTAAGAGAATTTTTTGGGTTTTTTATTCCCAGATCTAGGTTATTTTCATACCCTTGCAAGGTATTTTAATTTCAGTCAGAAGATTACAATGCAGTGAAGGAGTCATTTTCGACCCTATAAATCATATACATATATTCTTGATCAGCATCAACAGGCGAATCTTTCTATCTATCTCCGGCAAAAAAACAAAATTTTTGAAAATTTTCGATATTAAAAAAAAAGGATTTTTCATTTTGAATTGAGTATGCAGATTTATTAACCTAATAAAAACTACCATAGCAACGGTTTCTGAATTGAATTTAATGTATTTTTGACGAAGTTATGATGATTGTCATGATCAAACTGCAAGAATATACAAACTTCAATTTCCCGAAGCTAGATTTTTCCCATTCTTTTAATCGATCTGCCTTGTTTTCCCTTAAAAGTACTCTATAAACATTTCTTTTATTGTTTATTATCTACTTCATACAATAATGAAATATAGAAGATTCGAAAATATATATTTTACCCTTACATTTGTATAATTGTGACTAAGCAATTACGTGATTCCCTATACGTTGTATTACCTAAGCTAGAAGGGATTAGCCAACTTTAGTCATTGTCCAAAGATAAGATTAGCTGCTGGTCAAAATTTATTATCGAACATTGTATTGTACGAGTATTTGGGGAAATAAAAAACACGGCTACCACCACTCTCGGTCGTCCAGGTTATGGGGGAAATAAAGCCATAGCCATAGATACCGCAATTGTATTTGTTTCATTTTCTGCGAACTGGATGAGTATTTGACGGCTAATTGTGTGAAAGTAATTAAGAAGACCAAATAAGTAAAGCGGATTTTTCGATGATCGTCCATCAACTAGAATTTACTTTCTACTCTGGATTTTCAGACCGATCCGAACTCAATTTTGTCAACAACTTTCCCATGTTAATTGGAGGCATCTCTGCGGGGCAAAGAATGGAGCATGGATGGATCGAAGCCTTCGATGGCAAACCGTTAGCAGGCTATTTAGAGAGACGGCGGAATTATTTATGGGGTCCAGGGGCAATTAGAGCTAAAAGAAATCAATGAGCGAGATCACTGAGAAATCGCAGGCCTACTCCAGATTTTCTTAGCGGGACAGCTAAGCAACGAGCTAAGCACAGCAATACAGACGTCGGTTTGGACGGCTGGCGGCTTAATTGAAGAGGATCCAGTGCTAGAATCGTGTTCTAGCCACTGGTAACTGGTTGCAGCGACAACTTCTCGGACTGCCAGTTGTCTGTGCTCAATTCCAATGCCAATTCCAGCCTCAGAATGCAGCCAGCTCTGGCTGTGAGGCTCTGGTGACGCTGCACAGCCGCTTTTCCGCTGCTTCTCGGCTGCCGCATTTCCATCGCTTTCTTCGGAGTTGATAAAACGCTTGGCCGACGCCGTTTGTGCCACATTTTGTGGCTGGCCATTGCAGCAGACACTCCGCAGTCACCTGGAGATGAGCAGCCTGGTGAGATTCCTTTTGCTGAGCCTGCTCTGCGGCTCGCTGGCCTCTGGCCAGGACAGTGCCAGCGGGAGTGACCAGCAGTTGACCTCCACCCGAGAGGCGGCCACAGCAACGGAGGCGGCCCGGGGACTGGCCAGCAGCTATGAGCCGGAGGACAAGCAAGCGCTGCGCAAGAACTCACACATTTTCATGGGCATCTACAAGAACTACAAGAGCACCTATCTGGGCAACAAGACGACCAGTGAGTACAAGAAGCGGCTAAGGGATCGTGTCAGTGCGCCTCAAATGGCGGGCAACGAGGCTCAACTGAGTCCGGCGGAGCAGCCGGAGGCTGGGGATGTTCTGGCCGAGGAAATCCGCCAGGATGCCAATGCTGAGGCCTTGCTGGAGGCCCAAACAGAGTTGCCCAGTTACGACGACAGTGAAACGTCGGCGGGCAAAAAGAGGCGCAAACGCAAGCGCAAGGATCGCAACAAGAGGCGCGAGGAGTTGGATGCCGAAACGGATCGACCAGATGAGGCTGACCAGGAGGAGGAAGGCATTGAGAGATATCATGTGGGCCCCGGGCTCAATGTCAGCCTGGACATGAGCAACGACATTGTGCACGTGAAGCTGGATGGCGAGAACCTCAAGGAGATTATAGCCGCCCGTTGGCTAACCTCGGATAACAGCGAAGAAGGTGGGTTTTTCCTGTGGCTAAAGTTAATAATAATTATTATAATTTAATGTTTCCTTAAACCTTAGGTCGCGGCAAGAAGTATGATATGATCACCAAGGTCCTGCCTCTCTTTATCCTGCCCTTCCTCATCCAGTCAGCCATCGTTCCCTTCCTGGTGACCAAACTTAAGCTTCTGCTGGTCAAGTCCATTCTGGTGGGCAAGCTGGCCATCTTCCTGCTGATAATCTCGGCCATCAAGAATGGAAACAAGATGGTCCAGAGCTACGAAGTGCCCTCATACTGGGCCGGCGAGCCGAGCCGGAGATCTGAGCTGGCCGCCGCCGCCTCCTCCGCGGCTGCCGCCTACAATGGCTACCGGGTGGAGGGCAAGCCGACCACCTGGATCAGCTAGAACACGAGACCATCTCATAACGCAATAAGTTACGGTTCTAGGCTTTAAGTTCTTCGAAATAAAGATATGCACAAATCGGGTTGATTTACAGACTTCTCATTTGATAATTGTTGGCGTAGTAACTCGCTTCCTCTCTAGGAAATTACCCAAGAAACCCCAATGCCAAGGAAAGTGATTGCAAAAAAAGTTTATATAAATATTATCTTATGTGTGTTTATTGATAGCGTTTGTTGTGGCAATAAATAAGCGGTGGGAACAAATAAATTAACTTAAATCGCAGTTGAGTAATCTCTGCTGGGGCTCGACCAGCGCCCCCTTCCTCCTGGACTCTGACCCTGCTCGTAGCACTTAGTAGCACGTGTATTGGCGCTCCAGTTGGACGCACACGTCGCACTGCAGACGGAAGCCCCACACTAGCTTGCAGTTGCATCGCCGCTCGGTCTTCAGGTGCTGGGAGCGGGCGCGGTAGCCACAGACACGGCACAGCTGCTGGCAGGACAGGCGCTCCTCCACCGAGCTGCTACGGTCCTTGGAGCACACGCGGCCACGGGTTCCCTTCCAGCGGCCAGTTGCCTCCGGTTCACAGTAGTTGGGCGAATCCTCCATGAACACAAGCGTGTCCAGGGGAATGTTTTGCCACATGATCTTCAGGTTGCTGCTGGTGCTGTCCAGTTGGATGGCATCATCGTACATCTTGAGCAGATCCTGTGCCAGGTTCTCGAAGGGCTTCAAGACAGCCACACACTCCTCCTCGAGGCATTGGCCTGGCGCTGGTCCTGGTTGCTTGCAGCGGCACTCTTTTTGCAGTGACTCCTTGATCAGGGCCCCCACCACCCGCTGATTGTGGGCAGAGGCTCCCGATCCAGATCCAAAGCGTTTCTCGTACTGCTCCAAAGCCTTCTCCGGCTCATGGGCACAGGGCACATTGAGGGCATTGTCCGTGCATCCGCATCCAGCGATGACCCCGTTGGCGCAATCCTTGGTCAGGGTATAAACAATGGCGGCCATCGAAATGGCCGTCACATAGACACCTTCCCGATCCGTTGTGGTCTCCGCCGGAGTGGTGGATCGCTTTACAAAGTCCGTAACTGGACAGTTCCATCGCTGCCACTGGAAACTTTGCTGGCAACTGGCCAGACCCAGTTGTAGTCCCTTGGCGGTGATATCCTCCCAGGAGAGCGGAGCCTGGAACTGGGTGTACTGGTAGTAATTGATGGGCTCCATGACGCCGGCCAAGCTGCTGGCCACTCCCAGGAACAAACAGATTGTGAAGAGCATTTCGTCTTATTCGTTGTTGTGTGATATGTGTATATGATGATGATGTTGTCTCTGTGACGTCGCTAGCTCGACTGAATGGTCAGCAGAGCGCTCGGCTGGCTTATAAGGCCGCCGGCGGGAAGGGCGCTGTCCTGGGAGCGGCCCGTGGGAAATTCGGGCCTGGCCAAAAAACCGGAAATTTGCCGTTTTCCACTTGGAAATTTTGCATGGGCAGGGGGTAGGAACTCCCCGAGCTGAGGACGAATAAAACCCACTGGCAGCCCGCGACGCAATTGCGGAGCAGCCCAGTTTCCTGCGTCTACCTGGAGGATCCCCTGCCTCGGGCAACTTTCCCACGCTTAGGCAGGTAGATGTCAAAGGTCGGCCGACGAGCTCATGAATGAATTCCAGCCAGGTTTCATTCAGTCCTGCCGGAAAATCCCGAACTCCCACCGGACAACATCAATGCCTTGAGACGGATCGTATTCGGACTTGGACTCTTGTTCGGATTCGCTTCGGGGTTGTTTGGGTTTTTGTTTTGGACTGGCCAAGCCAATTATATAACAAAACATATGACAAACAGTAAATATGTATAATCTGGGAAATTAATTGCGCTTTGTGGTGAGCCAGAATAACCCCTCGGCATGGAGCCGGAATTTGTTGGTATTTTCAAATCGCAAAAGTTAATACCACGGATTAGGCCAAATGACGTTCAACATCATTAGGAGCAGATAGTGCCAGCTATCGATAAGATGGATTGGATTTTTTAGCTGCATCATGGAAATATTTTGGGATTTTCAGGACTCGAAATGAGAGAAACCAGATTTATATTTTTCTTCTAAAAATGGTAATGATATAAAATATTAAGAAATAGAATAGAAATATATATAAATACGATGATATTCTACATATTTTTTAGGCAGAGAAAGTAGAAAAACCCGACAGATACACTTATAGTCAAAAGATAGAAGCGAATTTATGGCACTATCATTAAGATGTCATAGCTCAATTGAATCTACAAATTCAACAAATCAAAGATAAGCTAAAGCTATAAATTCTCTATTTGATTGAATCGAAATAAAGTATATGAGATAGTAAGGGAAATCTCAACTTGAAGGAGAGTTAACCCTGAAAGTAATCGCCTGATAATGACAGCTCGTTAGCACTTCATAGATAAAAAAGAACAAGCGGTTATAAAATCAACAAAGATCCGTACTTGAATGTACAGATCTATATAGTAATTAAGGTGCGTTTATTATAGGGAGAACTTCCCGCTTCCATGGCACAAAAGGCAAAGTCATTATAAGTACGTCAATATCCAGGCTTCGCAATGCGAAAACGTGTGCGGAAATTTCAATGTTTGGGTTTTAGCACAATGAAAATACCGATTCTCTAATTAGGTCGCCGCCAGTCTCTCGTATGGCTTTCCATGGCACCGGAAAAGGGTTTTTTAGGACCTAAGCGCCGGGTAAAACAGAGCCAGGACAGGGACGATGGATGCTACCCGTCAAGGGACCGCAGGTAGTCGAAGTTTGCTCAATTGGTCTGCCGTCGCTGCAGGCCGCGTATTTCGCACACATATGGGCCTTGACACCGGGAGTTCCTCGGGGCTCAGCGGCCAGCGGCTTGGAATTCCGACACTGCTCGAGGAAAAACGCGCCAGATCTTTGGCATTTCTAACTTTAATCAAAGCGCCATGACAGGGTCCATAAATTTGGTCGATTGTCAGCGGAGAGCACTGTACATACACCCATGTCCCGGCTAATACTGCGGCTCATCGACTCGCGATTAGATTAGCAATCTGCAGATACACGCAACCAATTAAGATATAGGGGCCCACTTGAGTCTCCGACAAACTTACCTGTCGCTCCGCCGGCCAAGTGGGCGCTCAGTTTCGCCGTGGACGCGGCCCGTACTGGATTAAAACTATCGTCGCCATGATTATCACCGCCAAACTGGTGGCCATTGGCCTGAGCCTGGCGCTCACCGCCTTCACCGTATCGACCATCGTCCTGGCCGTTCAGAAGGCGAGTCTGCAGAGTGATCTGCGTGACGCCCAGGAGAAGCTGGACCTGCTGGAGGCGGGTTTTACGAGTACAAATGCTCCGGGAACCACAAGTTCTGCAGATCCGGGAACCTCTAGCAGCACAGCAGAGCCAGGTCCCACAGCGGCTCCGGGAACGACAGAGAGTCCCGGGTCTACAGCCTCGACAGCATCAACTGCCTCACCTGGAACGACTGCCTCTCCGGGCACCACAGCCTCCCCTGAGGAGAAAATTGACTACCGGCTGCCCAGGAACCTAGTGCCCACGCACTATGATCTCTATCTGTTCCCCAACATTGAGACAGGAGAATTTAATGGACAGGAAACTATTACCATTCAAGTTGCAGAGGCAACCGATAAGATTGTGCTACACTCACTCAACCTGACCATCTCGAGTGTATCTGTGCTAAATTCGGGCAGTGATACGCTGGAAGTCAAGGAAACATCCTTCGATGACGTCCGGGAGTTCCTCATTTTCCAGCTCACTGAGCCGCTGACGCAGGGTCGCGACATCCAGCTGCACATTGGATTCGAGGGTTCGATGGTCAACAAGATCGTGGGTCTGTACAGTTCGTCGTATGTGAAGCAGGACGAGAGTCGCAAGTGGATAGCCACATCCAAGTTTGAGCCGACTTATGCCCGGCAGGCCTTCCCCTGCTTCGATGAGCCGGCACTAAAAGCTGAGTTCACCATTACGCTGGTGCATCCCTCTGAGGGAGACTACCACGCGCTGTCCAACATGGACGTGGCCTCCACGGAAAGCCAGGGCGCCTTCCAGGAGGTCAGCTTCACAAGAAGCGTGCCCATGAGCACGTACCTGGCCTGCTTCATCGTCTCCGACTTCACCGCCAAGAAGGTGGAAATCGATACAAAGGGCATTGGAGATACCTTCACCATGAGTGCTTATGCCACTCCCGAGCAGATCAACAAGGTGGACTTTGCTGTGGACGTGGGCAAGGGAGTGATTGAGTACTATATTGACTATTTCCAAATCGAGTATCCCTTGCCCAAGCTGGACATGGTGGCCATTCCTGACTTTGTCTCCGGAGCCATGGAGCACTGGGGCCTGGTCACCTACCGTGAGACATCGCTTCTCTACGAGGCGGAGACGAGTTCGGCGACCAACAAGCAGCGCATTGCCAGCGTTATAGCCCATGAGTTTGCTCACATGTGGTTTGGCAACTTGGGTTCGTTGATACCCTGTAATAACCCTACTTAAAAATTAATTTATTTACTTCCAGTAACTATGAATTGGTGGAACGATCTGTGGCTAAACGAGGGCTTTGCCAGCTTCATCGAGTACCTTGGCGTGGATGCTGTGTTCCCAGAATGGAAAATGGTAAGTATCTATTAATATAAACCAGCAATATATATTCATATTAATCCAACTCTTTAAATCAACTAGCGGGATCAATTTATTATTAGTACTCTGCACTCGGTACTCACTCTGGATGGAACCCTGGGCTCTCATCCCATCATCCAGACGGTGGAGAATCCCGACCAGATCACAGAGATTTTTGATAGCATCACCTACTCAAAGGGCTCCTCCCTGGTGCGCATGTTGGAAGACTTCCTGGGAGAAGTGACCTTCCGCCAGGCGGTGACCAATTACCTGAACCAATACAAATACTCCACGGCCGAGACGGACAACTTCTTCTCGGAGATCGATAAGCTGGATTTGGATTACAATGTCACCGATATCATGCTCACATGGACAGTGCAGGTAACCACAAAATCCAAAAAGGTTTCTTGCGAATATTTTTTGCAACACGCTTTGGGGGTCTCTTTCATTTGCAGATGGGTCTGCCAGTGGTCACGATCGAGAAGGTCTCCGACACGGAATACAAATTGACGCAGAAACGCTTCTTGTCCAACCCGAACGACTATGCGGCCGACTACGAGCCCTCGGAATTCAGGTGAGTTCGAAACAGAACTTATGATCCGGATCGTATCTGATCGTAATTTTCGCACATACATTATTTGCACAGCTACCGCTGGTCGATACCCATCACATATACCACCAGTGCCCAGTCGGAGGTGCAGCGTGCCTGGTTTTATCACAGTCAGAGCGAAAGTAAGTGGTGCCATTTGTATGCGGAATGCGATCTCTCATCTCTGATCTTCGAACCTTTTCTTTGGCAGTCACTATAACTGTCCCGGCTGCCGTCCAGTGGATCAAGTTCAACGCCGATCAGGTGGGCTACTATCGGGTGAATTACGAGACCGATCTGTGGTCAGCCCTCGCTGATCAACTGGTGGCCGAGCCAAGCTCCTTCAGTGCCGGCGACAGGGCTTCCCTTCTGAATGACGCCTTTGCCCTGGCCGATTCCACCCAGTTGCCTTACGAGACAGCCTTTGAGCTGACCCGATATCTGGACAAGGAGGCCGACTATGTTCCCTGGAGCGTGGCTGCCACGCGTCTCACCTCTCTGAAGAGGACTCTGTACTACACCAGCAGCTATGCCAAGTACAAGAAGTATGCCACAGCCCTGATTGAGCCCATTTACAAGGCTCTGACGTGGACGGTGGGAGAGGATCACTTGGATAAGTAAGTGGATCTCCCCGAGATTTCAATATCTATATATTTTCCAAACTAATTATTCAACTGCCTTTATTTGCAGCCGTCTTCGTGTCACTGCCCTGAGTGCTGCCTGCTCTCTGGGTCTGGAGTCCTGCCTGACGGAAGCTGGACAGCAGTTCACCACTTGGCTGGCCAAGCCTGAGGATCGTCCCAAACCCGATGTCCGAGAGACGGTCTATTATTATGGAATCCTCTCCGTGGGTGACCAGGAAATATGGGATGCAGTGTGGGAGCTCTTTGTCAACGAGGGCGATGCCAGCGAAAAGTCCAAACTGATGTACGGACTGTCCGCCATTCAGTCTCCGTGGCTGCTACAACGCTACATTGATCTTGCCTGGAATGAGGAGTATGTCCGGGGACAGGACTACTTCACCTGCCTCACCTACATCTCTGCGAATCCTGTGGGCGAGTCCCTGGTCTGGGATTATGTCCGGGAGAACTGGCTTCGCTTGGTCGATCGTTTTGGCCTCAATGAACGCTATTTGGGCAACCTGATACCCTCCATCACAGCCCGCTTCAGTACTCAGACCAAGCTCGAGGAGATGGAGCAGTTCTTTGCCAAGTATCCCGAGGCCGGAGCCGGAACAGCTGCCCGCGTGAGGGCCCTGGAGACGGTGAAGAATAACATCGTGTGGCTGGCCGAGAATCTTGAGGGCGTGGACGCTTGGCTGGACAAACAGCAACTGTAGAATGACCCAAAGAGGAAGTGGCATTGTGGCCACGCTGCCCATTAAACTTGTACTCGTATTATTGCCATTATAAAGCAAAAAATGTGCCAAACAGCATGAAATAAAGATAAGCTAGTTATTGGGAAAACTCAAATTACAGCTCCATAAATAAGCAATTATCCATTTGCTGATTGGGCTAACTAGTACCCTGATAACAGATTAAAACCAAGAATGTTTAGTATAGAGTAATAATATATCTGATTTTATAGACATTTATGGAGAGGCCAAATGTCAGTTCCAATAGTTTATGGAAAGTTTTTAGGAGGGAAATGAAATCGAAAATGTGATGATGCTTATCGTGATTTTGCAATTTATAAAAATAAATTCCTTGCAGAAAATTATTTCTGATTTCGATAAAGACTATAATGCAGAACCAATTCAGATTTATTTTGGTAAGAAAAGTCATAAGATGTTTGATGATTTAGAACTTTTTATATGACCTCATAAGCCATGGTTATCGAATCCATACTTTGTCGCTCAAATTGGTGCCACAAATGAATCACTTTCATTAGATCTCTGGATTTTCCACTATCGCCTGCCTCGGACCTGTGCTCTGACCATAATTATTATCGCAATCGTGTGGGCGATCATAAACCGAATCGAGTGCCCATAATCAACTGGAGGTGAAGGAGTGATAGCCACATTATTGGGTCGGCCGTTAGTCCGTCCAAAAGTTTCGTTAGTTAGTCGCTCGCAATAGGTGCGATTGCAAAGATGTTCTTGTCGGGATATTGGCTACAGGTGGTGCTCTCCTGGGCGGTGGTGGCCTTCGTCAGTTCCACCGTCGTGGGGATGTGCAGAATAAAATCGAAATATTCGAGGAGTCGAACGGAGCGAATGGCCAGCGAGTGAAGCGGGAAGATAGTGTATGTAATCGGCTTCTAAGGTTAATCGTTGAAATTGAATTACGATAATCTCTAATCTTTTTTGTAGATTGATTATCGCCTGCCAACGGCTCTGGTGCCCGTGCACTACGAGGTCTACTGGCATCCGGATTTGGAAACGGGCAACTTCACTGGCCAGGAAACGATTAGAATCACGGTGGTCGAGCCCACCAACCAGATCATTCTGCACTCTTACCTTCTGGAGATCACGAGTGTCTATGTCCTGAACTACGAGGTGGAGAGTTTCGTGCTTGAGACGGACCGCCAGTTTCTGATCATCACGCTGACCACGGAGTTGCCGGTAGATGCCAGCATCACCCTGGGCATCATATTCAATGGTAGGATGAAGGACAAGCTTGTGGGTCTCTACAGCAGCACCTATCAAAATGAGGCCGGAGCGCAGAGGTACAGACTTTTACCTAAGCCTAAAAGTATGCTGAATCTTTACCAATATTTTCATATTACAGAACCATTTCCACTTCGCAATTCGAGCCCGTCTATGCCCGCCAGGCTTTCCCCTGCTTCGATGAGCCCGCAATGAAGGCCACCTTTGCCATAACTGTGGTGCATCCCAGTGGCTCATACTATGCCGTCTCCAATATGAAACAAACCGTAAGATCACCCTTAAGTTAAAACCACAAACCGGCAATTAAATCAAGAAAAACTTCATCAGGATTCCAACTACTTGGGCGAAAATACCGAGGCAATCTTCGAGAGCACCGTGTCGATGAGCACCTACCTGGTGTGCGTCATCGTGTCCGACTTTGCCTCTCAGGAAACCACGGTCAAGGCCAATGGCATTGGTGAGGACTTCTCCATGCAGGCCTATGCCACATCCCATCAGATTGAAAAGGTGGAGTTTGCCCTGGAGTTCGGAGCAGCGGTCACAGAGTACTATATCCAGTACTACAAGGTGGCCTATCCCCTGACCAAGCTGGACATGGCCGCCATTCCCGACTTCTCTTCGAATGCCATGGAGCACTGGGGACTGGTCACCTATCGAGAGACCGCTCTGCTCTATGACCCCAACTACAGCTCCACCTTTAACAAGCAATCGATTGCCAGCGTCTTGGCCCACGAGATTGCCCATCAGTGGTTCGGAAACCTGGTGACCATGAAGTGGTGGAACGACATTTGGTTAAACGAGGGCTTCGCCCGCTACATGCAGTACAAGGGAGTTAACGCAGTGCACCCGGACTGGGGAATGGTAGGGAGCAAAAACTATATCTGATATACCAAATTGCATAACTTCTTCATTCCTCTTCCAGTTGGAGCAGTTCCAGATCATCGCTCAGCATCCCGTGCTGGTGTACGATGGCAAGCTCTCTTCGCATCCCATTGTGCAGCAGGCAGACACTCCCGACGAGATCAGTGCCATCTTTGACACCATCAGCTATGAGAAGGGCGGCTCTGTGATCCGCATGCTGGAAACTCTTGTGGGAGCCGAGAAGTTCGAGGAGGCGGTGACCAATTACTTGGTGAAATATCAGTTCAAGAACACGGTGACCGATGATTTCCTCACCGAAGTGGACGCTGTGGTGCCCGAGTTGGGAGTGAAGAAGCTGATGCTTACCTGGACCAACCAGATGGGTTATCCAGTGTTGAATGTGTCAAAGACGCCCGCCGGTTTCCAGGTCACCCAGCAGCGATTCCTCTCCAATCCAGCTAGCTACGAGGAGATGCCTGATGACAGCGAGTTTGGTTATAAATGGAGCGTTCCCATCACCTACACAGCCTCCACCTGGGACGATGATACGGTGGGCAGTGTGGTGTTCGATCATGATGTGGACGCCGTGGGCATTGCCTTAGATAGCGACATTGAGTGGATCAAGTTGAATGTACATCAGACGGGCTACTACAGGGTCAACTACGAGGAGAGCCTCTGGACACTGCTCATCCAGCAGTTGAACACAGATCCCAGTCGCTTTGCAATTGCCGATCGAGCTCACCTCCTGAACGACGCTTTTGCTCTGGCGGATGCCAGCCAGCTCTCGTACATTGTGCCGCTGGAGATGACCGGTTACTTGAGCCAGGAGAAGGACTTTGTGCCCTGGTATGTGGCGGCCAACAAACTTATTGCCATCCACCGCAGTCTCATGTTCAGCGAGGGATATGTATCCTACCTGACCTACGCCAGGAGTCTGCTGACCAACATTTACCAGGAAGTGGGCTGGACTGTGGATGCCAACAATCACCTGAGAAAGTAAGGAATTAAGTGTATTTGGAAATCGAAATCTTTACTTAACTCTATTTATACATTCTTGCAGTCGCTTGAGGGTCTCGATCTTGTCTGCCGCCTGTGCCCTTGGCTTGCCCGATTGCCTGGAGCAGGCCTCCACCCGTTTCAACGCCTTCCTGCAGAACCCAACGACCGCTAGGCCTTCTCCCGATCTCCGTGAGATCGTCTATCATTACGGCATACAAGAGTCGAGCAGCCAGACCACCTGGCAGCAGCTGTACGCTCTCTTCTTGGATGAAACCGACGCCAGTGAGCGTCTCAAGATGATGTATGGTCTGGCCGGCACCCGGGATGCCCAGCAGCTGTACACCTTCTTGGATCTGGGCTACGACGAGAATGTTGTACGCTCACAGGACTACTTCACTCTCATGCAAAACATTGCTGCCAATCCGGTGGGTGAGCCCGTGGTGTGGGAGTACTACCGGGAGAACTGGCCCAAGCTCGCGGCACGCTTCACCCTGACCAACAAGTACTTTGGCCGACTGATCGCCCAGATCACTCAGAACTTTGCCGGCACCGTGAAGCTGGAGGAGGTGCAACAGTTCTATTCCAAGTACCCGGAGGCCGGAGCCGGAGCCAACTCCAGGCTGGAGGCCATCGAGACGATCAAGTACAACATCGAGTGGCTGGCCAGGAACCGCGCTGACATCAGCGACTGGCTGAGTGGCACGGCCTCACCGCTGCTGACCAAGAAAAACCAATTGTAAAACCTATGAATATAAGCCAATTAGGCACCAATTATAATTGCATAAGCAGCCTGCGAAATTTCCGCTCGAGCTCACTAAAATAAAATTCCCAATCAAACCATAAATAAAACCATGAAATTTTCATTTTTTATCCGGGCGTATGGCGATTTTTATGGCCATAAGGAATGCCCACAGATACGGCTCTAGTTATATCTCTATATCATATATGGTCAAAATACGGAATCATGACTGTGCTTAAATGGAGACGAGACTGTCCAGTCATAAATGCCGATATATGGCCTTGCTGTTATGTTTATAGCACATGTACGGCTATAAACGTAAGCGGAAGGGACCACGGGCCACGTTATGGTGGCTTATAAACCTTATTTATCTGGACACGGAGTTGTATCGCTCGTCTAGATATCGGCCAGCAATCTGGACGGGCTTATGAAGTCCAAATTGTGGGGTCAGATTCGCTACTTGCATTCAGTTTCCAATTTGGCTTCCAGCCTAAAGGAAGCAGTCGAGACAGTGTTCCCGGAAAAAGGAGAAATCAGGATCCCCTGAAATGCATTTTGCCTGTGAGTTTCGCATAATGAAATCGGGATATTGATCTGAACTCATAATATGTGAATCGTGCAGGGCTTACGGTCAAGGCAGTGGCCATCTTTCTTGGCCTGGCCACCACGGCCTTCTGTGTGTCCACCATTGTGCTGGCCGTTCAGAATTCGGACTTGGAGAATGATCTGCAGGATGCTCTTGACAAGATCGATGCCTTGACAGCGGATACCACTTCCACATCCACTTCGACGATCACCACTCCTACCGGGGATCCCAACAGGCCAACTGACGATGATATCACCACTCCAGGCGGCATTACAACTCCTGGTGGTGGAACCTCGCCGGGAGATGGCACCACTGCCTCGGGTGTAACCACTCCCAGTGATGGCACCACCGCCTCGGGTGCAACTACTCCCAGTGGCGGTACCTCCTCCAGCAGTGCTCCAATCTATCCAACTTTGCCAACAGGACTTCCCGATCCTGATGCGGTAAGTGCAGTAAAACCATATATCCTAACATGTTCAAGTGGAATTTTTAAACTTTAATTAGTGCTGGAAAAAACCCCAGCTAGGACAGACCCATTGGTCATTGATGGTCATAAAGTCGGCATGACCACCAATTCAATTTCAAGTGCTTATCGCCTGAGGAAACGTTTATTTCTTTGTATTTTTATCATAGCTTTTTGTTGCGTCCAGAAATTAGTTAATTTTTAAGTCAGTTTAATTGCGAACAACACCCAGTTAAGAGTATCAAAAATGGGCCACCTAAAGGAGAAGTTTAAGGGTATTTATATGTACAAAAGGATCTCGATTTGACATTACTAGAAGATATATGATTTCTTAGACCTTTTCACCGCGGAGCGCGTGGCTATATTCTTTGGCCTGCTGTCCACCTGCCTGATTGTTGCTCTTGTGGTTGTAATTGTCCACAGGGATAACCTGTGGATAGAGCTGGATGAGGCCAAAAGGATGTTGGATGTGCTTGAGGACTATATCCAAAGCCACTTGAGGACTGTCACTTCTGATATCAGAGGCACTACCACTTAGAGGGGGTTTTGAAGTAAAATTTATTATACGAAAATGTTTACACAAAAGTATACTTTAATTCAATAAATTTATTCATTTATGTAAAATATATTTATTTAAAATTTTAGCAATTAATCATACCAGCTAGTCAGACTTATATGTCCCAGATAAAGTTGCAGTACTGCAACAAAGTCCATTTGGTTTACGACTAGACCCAAACATTAGACCCCTTTTCCTATCGCCACTTTATCGCCACTTTATCGCCACATTTGCCGCTTTATACAGTGACTTATTATCGATAGCCTGGATACGGACTAATCTTTACAACCCCCCACAGATCCAGTGGCGCCTGCCCACCGAGCTGAGGCCCATCAAGTACAAGCTGTTCTATTATCCCAATCTCAAGACGGGCGAGTGTACCGGCACCGTCTCCATTCAGTTCCAGCTGAATGAGGTGACCAACCTGATTGTCCTGCACTCTCTGGACCTTAATGTCCACGGTATCAGCATTCTGAATATGATGGCGCGCATGCGCGTTGCCGTGGAAAGTGTCACCCAGGATAATGACCGTCAGCTGCTGCTCATCAAGCTGCGCGAAGTGCTTAGCATGAACAAGGCCTACACACTTTCCGCCAACTTCGATTGCAATCTGACCAGCTTAACGGGTGTCTACATCAGCAACTACACGGATGTCAACGGAAATGCCAAGTGAGTAGGAAACACTTAAGTATTTACTAAATTAGTTGATAGTTAAAACAATATATGGATAAGATTATGGATAATCAATAGTATTTAATACCCCTACAGGGCATTATAATTTTGGTCATATATGTCTATCATATATATTCTTGATCAGCATCAATATCAAAACTTTGTAGCCATTTCCGGCAGAAAAACAAAATTTTCAAAAAATTTGGATTTTTGCAGAAAAAAAGGAGAGGGGTTACATTATTAAAATTGTCAAAAATTGATCAAATTGATTGATTTAATTGATAAACAAATTTTTTTATATTTATATTTAGTAGTGAAGATTTATAAACCTCATAAAAACTAACAATGGAATGATTTCCGATATAAAATTAATGCCTATTTGGCTTAGTTATGAGAGTTTAAAATTTTAATTTAAAAAAAAAATGTTCATATTATAACATATTGTAAAAAATTGATTCAAAGAATGGCTAAAATATGTTAAGATATATTTCTTTCTTTAAGTTAATCATATTCTTTACTCAAATATTTAACTTAAACAAGTTTATTATATATTAAGACCCCCTTAAAGGCTTAAGACCTACTTTATTGACTACTATTGCGCTCTCTGGCGAGTACCCCTAATACCCATTAAGACTGTGGGAGTTTACGACTTGTTGTGGCCACAAAAAAAGCCGGTCTCCGGCGATCAGCTGGAAAAGCTTTCCAGTGAAGCTCAGAGATCGCGACGGCTTTTGAGCTGCGCTTCAGTTGGAAGTTGAAAGCTAAGAGAGACGGTCGCTCATGAGCGGGCGCGTCTTGGTAACCGATCTCAATTTGCCGCTGTGCGTATACCCCTGGTCACACCCCCCTTGGCCACCTTAAGTGCGCGCCTCCGATTTGAATCAAGAATGAACGCTGTCCGACAATTGCCGTTATCAAATTAGCCGAGAGAGAATAGTGTCCGGGACGTGGACCCGGCAAAGTGACAATTAATGCCGTTGCTCCGGAAAACGTGACTCGTAAAGCTGTGATTTTGATTCGGCTTCCAACTGTAAATCACCAAGAATAGACCATAGTGCGAAATGTGACAAAAATAATACATAGATAATAATTGGTCCAGATCAATCAGATACCGTTGAATCGCCACCTGAAAGCTCTGAAGCGTACGATCTGTATATATCATATTTTTTTGTGCCATTGTCATTGAGCCAGTCCGTTAGGCGATCTGGCATTCCGAGTTCTAATTGGAGGCATTGAGGCGGTTACTAATTTTAATATTTGCTGAAATGCGTCCACCACCGGATTCTATGCCAACTTTGACTTTCAACAGCAGTCACAGTTATCGATAAACAACAACTTGGCCAGCGCAGAACTAACTCCACATGGCTAAAATCAAACAGGTTGCACCGCTCCCTGTTGGCCCCGCTGGGTGTCCCCCTTCCTGCTGCAAACAGGCTTGGAGCCAAATGCATACATAGTTCACTTGCCGCGCAAGTTCTTGGCCTTAAATCGGCCACTGCCGCTGCACTGTGAGAAAAACTCCATAAAAATATGCTTATGTTTATAGAAATCTCTCTGAGCTGAAACCTCTATAGGAACGTGACATTTCTACAAGCTTGGTTTTCGAAGATATGAGGGTATTTGTTTGATATTTTTCGCTTTAAAATGTTTCTTGAATTTATTATCTATAAAAATAGCACTACTGATAGTGAATCTATAAATTTGATAAGAATTTAAATGGTTATGATTCAAAGCTATCTGTCTTTTATAAAATTTGTATATAAATATTTAAAATACTTGAAATTATATTATATTTATTATAAATATTATTATGCAATTAAAAACAATCAGAAATAGGAACCAGTTTAAAACATTTCAAAAAATATTATTTAAAAGGCACTTTAAACCTATTTAAAAAACAATTATCTGAGATTAATAACATAAAATATTTGTGTGATCTTAATGTAGTTTAAAATTAAATTTAGTTGCCTTTAGTGATTTTTATAATCACGTTTCCCCCAGTGTACCTTGCCTACCTGGCTTTTGGCCAAGAAATGCTCCGTGTTTACAACTCGAATGCGGCGGATACTCAATGGCCGCTGAGAAATTACTTTCTTCGAAAAGGCCGGAGCGAAATGGGTCGACATCATTGACTGCCAAGCCAACTTGTTGTCGTAGTATTCCCTCTTTCTCCCCGTGGTTTCTCCATCTCCATCTCCATCACATTTCTCGTTTTGTTTTGTTCTTTAAAAGTTCAGTCAAAGCGCAGCCAGTGGTCAAATCTTTTTTCATTTTCATTGACACTGATTTCTTTTTTGTTCTTCTTGAGCGAAAGAAAACATTAAATAAAGAAATTTCGCTCAGGTGTGTGGGAAAGAACCTTTAAAAGGGAAGGGTGTTGAATTTTTAATTAGATTTTGGTGCTGATAGAACATTTGACAACTGTTTTTATTTTTAAGCTAAAACTTTTCAAGTCATTATTAGATGTCTATCCTGAGACAATATAATTATATTTGATGGACACATGCATTCTAATTATAGGATTAATGCAAACTAAACAAATATTTTGTCTTTTTACTTCTTGATTTGATTTATTTATTATAAATTCTCTAAGTAATACAACTGTCTAAAATGTTGCTGTCATAATATCTTGTAATTTATACGAGGGAGTAAATTCAATTTATTTTGTTAAATAACTTTATTTAAAATAAATTTGCGAAGGCCGAAATGTGTTAACGCTAAATTCATTGCCTGCCCTTTGTTTGGCCATTATGCAACTCTTTGATTGATAGTAAATTTATTTCGCATACCGTTAACCCCAAACATGCAAATTGTGGCAATCATTTCTTTGTCCCCCTTATTTATTGTTTTATAGTTTTGTTTTAATTTTTCTTTGTGAATATCGTAAATGGCAGGCACGTAAAGGCGACCTTTATCAAGTGTCATCCCTTGGCGGGTGTAATGGGCTTTGGGTTTGGGTTTTTTTTACTCCTCAGTATCAGTATTTTATTTATTTTGTGTTTTGGGTGTTTCTGGGGCGCAGCACTTGTCACGTAAAGCCAAACGATTTCCATTTTTGTGGCTATTACTTGTCGCCAGCCTGTGAATACTGTGAAAGTTATGACCTTAAAAAGGCCAAAGAACGTGTTTTCTCAAAAATAAAAGCTTTCGATTTCAATTTCTAATTTTTAATATTGTGGAGTAAACAAAATAACATTCTGGAATAAATTTATTATGATAACAGGTTAGAGAGACAGTCAAAATTCTTGAGATTAAATAAATTGGTTTCTTTGTTCTTTAAAATTATATATTAGTGTCTGGAGATAGTCAACAATGCAAGCAGATTAAATAAATAGGTTTACGCAACTTTTCAATTACAAAAAGAATTCTTGTGATAATTATTCTGAAACAAAATGCTCACTTTCATGAAAGTTCATATAGCGGCTTGCTTATCAGCAAGAGTGTCCACTGTAGTTTGTTGTGATCATTAAACTCAATCTTCAAAGAAGTGAAAATGTGTGGGACTCATTAGCGAAGCATGAGAACGGTTCTGTTATGACATGTGCCCCGCGATCAACGCTTCATCGGCTCCATGCGAAGACATCCACGTAGATGTGTGGATGCAGTGGGGCGTGTCCGAGTCGGAGTCGCATATATCTAGACCCAACCTATGTATGTGCCAGCTGCCATTGTCTGCAGATCTTCTGGGCTGCATTTCCATGCCGCTCATGAGGTGGCAGTCATGCAATTTGGTTGCCGCCAATGTGCGGTGGCTTTTGTGCGCGATGCGCGCTCCCTAATTGAGTCAGCATTACATCATCGGATGGCTCCGCGATCCACAGCAGATGCGAGGGGATTAGGCCTGGGCATGGGTATATCAGAGACAATTGCCAGGCGGCGGCTGGTGAAAATTAGCATATTCTGCAGTCTCGAATTCCTTATTTCGCACAATTTGAGATGAATGACGGTCGGGTGGGATGTTGCAGCTGCATTGTATACGGTTCTCTGTTTAATGTATGCCTGGTGGGTACTCCTTCATCCTGACATAATTGTCAAAGCACAAGCTCCACGGCTCCACGGCCAATTCAATTCATTTCCATTGCTAATAATGGCATCTGCAATTTCTTCCCATCTCACAAACTCCACGGATTTGTTGCCAGATACTCCTCGTAAATCTGCCCGGCAAATTGACAGGCAAAAAGGCAATAACCTCTAGCTATCCGTCAATCAATAGTACACTGCAAGAAACTGTGGTTATTAATAGTTATCTGAGCTAAGATTTATTTGGACAAGAGATTTGTTATAATTATCATTAAATGAGAAATTAACAATTGATTGAGTTCAAGTCATTGGATATCATATTTTTCCGGACAAAGACACGAACGCCTCGCGTAGAAAGTGGCCTGCGGTGGTCGTCATATCATTGCGACAAGCCCCGGGAATTTGTAATGCAACTTTTGCGGTTAGCCAGCCCAATTCCGACTCCAATTCCAATTCCCATCCCAACACCAACTAAACTAAACTAAAACATGGCTTCGGGTATTTCTTGTAACAATTTCATTGAATGACCAACTTCATTACGTGACCGTTGGAGGGAGATCGGGAGAGAGAGAGGGCAGGGTACGGGCCTCAAATTACAGGCATCTGATTGATCTACAGCGAGACAAAATTGAGGCAATCTCCACCGGGAGAGATGAAGTGACGGAAGCTGGACCGCTGTCCATAAAAGCCGGGCAAACAGACTCGGGTTTGTTTATAAGCAGCTCACTCGGAGATTATAAAAACTGATGATGGCATGTAATTCAGTACGCGGTGTAGCTTTATGATGCTCTCGAATTACCTCGCCGATGACACAATAGATTTGGCTCAAGTTGTGGCATTCGGTTCAAAATAACACAACAGTTAAAAGAATGCGGATTGCGACAGTGACACCCAGAGTTAAATCCTAATATAATGTTCCCAGACATTCAATGTTCCAGAACGCCGAGTCATACACCATCCAACCATCTCTACCCAGTGTGTAAATAAGTGAAAAATAAATACAAATCGAAGGAAAACAAAACAAAGAGAAATCATGTATTCAGCGAAAAACGTCCGCCCGCGCAGCAGTCTCTCCACAGACGACAATCATCGGATCAAGGACACCAACCGGCCCCACAAGGCCCCAAGCAACACGATCCTCACTCTGGCCGCTTTCTGTGTCTTCCTCCTGGTGCTCTGCGGCTTCCTGCTGGGTGCCCTTGTCTACGTCGGTAAGAATATTGCCGACGAGCATCAGAGGCAGCAGCAGCAGCAGCAACTCGCCGCCAACAGTTCACAGTTGGCCTCGAACGGTGGTTTTCGCACAGTGTACGTGGACCGGGATCAGTTGCTCTCCACAAAGCCCATACTGAGCGTCCTCGCAGGTTGGTGTCACGCTAGAGAGAAATTAGGGAAACATTTATTTTGAGCAAAAAATTGAAATAAGAAAGGCAGTTTTTAAATTATTTTTATAAACAGAAAACCCTGTGTTTTTGAAAGCAGTTTTAAAATAGATTTCTTTTGGCTTTTCTTTGTTTGTCATATTGTTCACAAAAATGTTCAGAAAATCTAGCAGTTTTTTAAAGTCGTGCTTGAATATGGCGCGCTTTTCTTACGGTACGGTATACAAAAAGTCGATAGGCTGTTATCGATAGCCACTTTTTCACGTTGAAAATATCAGAAACCACTTGTAAATTATAGAAATTCTATTTCTATATCTTATAAGTCAATGCAAGTATATCGCAGAAAATTTTAATTTTATTTATATATTTTTAAAAAAGTTAGTTTTATATATATATATATGTTTATATTATATATATTATATTTATTTTACCATTTTGTGGAGTCAATTTTTTTAAGGAAATAATGTCAACATAAAAACAAAACCCCTCAATCAGAATTTAATTTAAATAATAATTATAAATAATTATCGAATCAACTTCCCAACTTGGGTTTTTGTCGCAGCTAAAAGCTTTTTAACATTACTTGCACAATTCTGAAAACGTCATCAACGGTCACACTGTTATATCTTAGCTTTTTATTGAGACTGATTAGGAAATATAGTTAGTTTAGGAACAAGCTATAAGTGATTATTAAACCGCTGTTAAATCGCACGCCACATCCAGATAACCGAGTCCACACCACCCAATTGCCCGGTAGCAGTAAGAACCACGCCATGGCCACCCTAGCGCCCGCCGTCAAAGTCGCCAGCAAGGTGCTCCAGCATCTGGGATTCCGGCTGCCCCAGCAGATCAAGCCCAGCAAGTACCGCCTGAAACTGCGCCCGGATCTCGAACGGAAGAACTATTCCGGCAACATTAGCATCAGCCTCCAGGTGTTGGAGCCCATAGCATTTATTCCCGTCCACGTCAAGAAGCTAAATGTGAGCACCGTGGAGGTGCAGCGCCTGGACGAATCGGGAGCACCGCTGAAGAGCATCATCCCAACACTGACCTTCGCCCATCCGGAGTTCGAGTACTGGGTCACGGAATTCGATCAACCCCTGGAAGTGGGCAACTACTCGCTGAGCCTCAACTTCAGCGGATCGCTAATCGATCGTATTACGGGATTGTACCAGAGCTCCTATCTGGACAAGCTAAAGAACCGCACCAGGTAGCCTGAGCTGCTAACCAACCAACACTAACATCTAACCTAGCTTAAGCAGTAATATTTTAACTAGATTAACCCACTAACATTAAGTCTATACAATTTATATGTTTTTATACCTACTAACATTTGTTATCCTCCCGTTCCAGACCGATTGCGAGCACCAAGTTCGAGCCAACGTACGCCCGACTGGCCTTCCCCTGCTTCGACGAGCCTGCCCTGAAGGCCCAGTTTACCATCACTGTCGCACGTCCCAGTGGCGATGAGTACCATGTGCTCTCCAACATGCCGGTGGACAACGAGTATGTCGATGGCGACCTCACCGAGGTGACGTTTAGGGAGAGCGTGCCTATGAGCACCTACCTGGCCGCCTTTGTGGTCTCTGACTTCGCCTACAAAAGCACCATAGTGGAGGGAACTTCCATTGAACTGCGTGTTTTCGCCCCCCCTGCCCAGGTGGAGAAGACCCAATATGCTTTGGACATGGGAGCTGGAGTTATTGCCTACTACATCGACTACTTCAACACCTCGTACCCGCTGCCAAAGTTGGACATGGTGGCCATACCCGATTTTGTGTCCGGGGCCATGGAGAACTGGGGTCTTGTCACCTACAGAGAGACTGCTCTTTTGTACGACGAAGAGACCAGCTCCAGTGTGAATAAGCAACGTGTGGCCATCGTAGTGGCTCATGAGTTGGCCCACCAGTGGTTCGGTAACCTCGTCACCATGAACTGGTGGAGCGATCTCTGGCTGAACGAGGGTTTCGCCTCGTTTGTGGAATACAAGGGTGTAAAGCAAATGCACCCGGATTGGGACATGGACAACCAGTTTGTGACCGAAGAGCTGCACCCAGTATTGACCATCGACTCTACTTTGGCCTCCCATCCCATTGTCAAGTCTATCCAAAGCCCCGCCGAGATCACTGAGTACTTCGACACCATCACTTACTCCAAGGGCGCCGCCTTAGTTCGTATGCTGGAGAACCTGGTGGGCGAGCCCAAGCTGAAGAATGCCACCACTCGTTACCTGATTCGTCACATTTACAGCACTGCCACCACGGAGGATTACCTCACTGCCATCGAGGAGGAGGAGGGTCTCGACTTTGATGTTAAGTAGGTGTATCAGTTGTGACATTGAGTTCCTTGTCTAATCCTCTATCACTTGCAGACTGATCATGCAGACCTGGACGGAGCAGATGGGTCTCCCAGTCGTTCAGGTGGAGAAGAGTGGCACTACCTACAGGCTCACTCAGAAGCGTTTCCTAGCCAACCCGGATGACTATGCATCCGAAGCGGAAGCCTCATCCTTCAAGTATGTCGGATTTATTAAATTTTTATTTTATTTAACTGAGAATCCTTTTTTCTTGTTTCCTATAGCTACCGCTGGTCGATTCCCATTACTTACACCAGCAGCATCAACAGCGAGGTGCAGTCCACCATCTTCAACCACAATGATAACGAGGCCAGCATAACGCTGCCCAGCGAGCCTAGTTGGATAAAGTTTAACAAGGATCAGGTTGGGTATTATCGCGTCAACTACGCCAACGAGCAGTGGGCAGCACTTACCAGTGCTCTGAAGGCCTCCCGTGAGACCTTCAGCACGGCTGATCGTGCTCATTTGCTGAACGATGCCAACACCTTGGCCGCTGCCGGACAACTGGACTACGCCGTGGCGCTGGACCTGAGCACTTACCTTGAGAGCGAGGTCGACTATGTGCCCTGGAGCGTGGGAACGTCGTCGCTGGCCACGCTGCGCAACATTGTCTACTACACCGATTTGTACAGCAACTTTACCACCTACGCCCTGAAACTGCTCACACCCATTGTTGAGCGAGTAACTTTCACCGTGGGCACCAATCATCTGGAAAAGTAAGACACTCAATCATTTGCTAAAGCACATTCTTTACTATACATGTCGTTCACAGTCGCCTTCGCATCAAGGTTCTGAGCTCCGCTTGTAGCCTGGGACACGCAAGCTCCCTGCAACAGGCTGTCACGCTGTTTAACCAGTGGTTGGCCAGTCCGGAGACCAGACCCAGTCCCGATGTCAGGGACGTCGTCTACTACTACGGTATGCAGCAGGTGAACACTCAGGCCGTCTGGGATCAGGTGTGGCAACTATACATGGACGAGAGCGATGCCCAAGAGAAGCTGAAGCTGATGAACTGCCTGGCCGCCGTGCAAGTGCCCTGGCTGCTGCAGCGATACATCACCTGGGCAGGTGACGAGTCTAACGTGCGTCGCCAGGACTACTTTACGCTGCTGGGTTACATCTCCAGCAATCCGGTGGGCCAAAGCCTGGTCTGGGACTATGTCCGCGAGAACTGGGAACAGCTGGTGGCACGCTTTGGTATCAATGAGCGTACCCTGGGTCGATTGATTCCTACCATCACAGCTCGCTTCTCCACGCAAACCAAATTGGAGGAGATGGAGCAATTCTTTGCCAAATATCCCGAGGCCGGAGCCGGAACTGCGGCCCGCCAACAGGCTTTGGAGGCGGTGAAGGCCAACATCAAGTGGCTGGTGGTGAACAAGGCTAAGGTGGGCGAATGGTTGGCCAACTACGTTCAGCAGTCCTCCGTCACCAATCGCATCCAATGAGTCGCCAGTCCCCAAATCAGCCACTAGCACCCTGTAAAATATCAATAATGTAAAAACTACCAATGGAATTGAACATAGTCTTAGCTAACGAATGCAGCTATTGCATTTCAAATGTGAACGAAGAATTGTGAATGCGTATGATATTTTTGAAGAAAATACAAGATAAAAATTGATTCTTGTGTTTTTATTATTATTATTTTAATTTACTAAGCAACCAAAGCAAATGTAATACGCTTAATCCCTCCACATTTGAACTTGCTTCAAGTATGTAGTATTATAGCTATATTTATTATCTGCCATCAATTGATTGTGTAGCAGCACAGTTGTTAAACTAATATTGAACAAGCTTTAGTTTTCTCAACTATTGCCAAATGCACTTGTCCCCTTAGTTTCACTTGGCAGTTGATAGCAAGCTCCGTGAGCTCCATGAAGTTAATTAATCGCCATGAAAACTATTCTTAAGTTATACCTTAGTTTTACCGTAATCTTAGTTCTTTACACAGCATACAACGTTTACATGCTACAGCGTTATTACTTTTCATTAGGCCGAACAAGTAATATATACAATATGATATTTTATTATTATTATTAACTATAAGAATATTAATAAAACCTTTTTAGGCTTGATTGACGAATGGCCAGAGGATGAACTGGACTTGACGGACAACATTTCGCCTTTTGAGGACACTGCTTTAATTAAGCCCCAGGGTTTTTGTGGAGAGAAAACCTTTCTGCTAATTATTGTGGAGTCAAGTGTTAGTCACTATCTAGCCCGACAGAATATACGGGCGACCTGGGGGAACTCATCACGCTTCAACTATCCAGAGTTCCGAAAGCTCCATGGCCACCTGAAAGGATCCTACTATCCTCCACTCAAGAGTAGGCTACATCTCTATTCGAAATACCTGTCTGGAAAAGATGAGAGCCTCCGGGCTGCTGTGAGGGTGGTGTTTATGATCGGTCGAAAAATGGATAACGAATCATCGAGGCAACTTCGTGAAGAAGCGCATCAGGACAATGACATCATTCAGGAGGACTTCATCGATAGTTACAAAAATCTAACGCTGAAAACTGTGTTGGCCCTGAAGCATGTGACCAGCCGTTGCTCCAAAACCACCGCTTACGTGTTGAAGACGGATGACGATGCCTTCATAAATGTTCCCAATCTTTTGCACATTTTATTGGGTGGCACAATGCCGAGTCGGAAGAACCCACCTCGTCAATTCCGACTAACAGCCACCAAGAATGTGCTGTTGGGAAAGAAACTAAGCCGGGCCAAACCCATCGTGAATGTGGCCAACAAGTGGTACATGCCCCACTACATGTATCCGAACGAAACCTATCCAGCCTTCCTAGTCGGCGGAGGTTACCTGATGTCCATTGACGTGACCCAACGCTTGTATGAAGCTGCCTGGTACACGACAGTAGTCCATCTGGAGGATGTATTCATCACAGGGCTTTGTGCCCGGAATGCTAGAGTGGAGCGCATGCATAGCTCCCTCTTTTTCGTGTTTAAGTCAAAGGAGCTGTGTAATTATAAGGATAGTATAATTAGGGTGAAACCAAAGGGTATGAGTTTGCTCAGAGTGTTTGACTTCGTTACAAACTACAGTGTCAAGTGTCCACTGTCTCTCAATGATGTTACGCCATCATTGTCTTAAGATATCTGTCCTCACAACATCTGTTAATGTTATTTTAAGGTCTTTTTAAAAAAATAAAAAATAAAAATATAATATAAAATAATAATAAAAATTTTTATATATATTTATATATATATTTTTATAACATTGCAGAGTATAATAATTTTAATCAGAAGCTCGAAATTCAGTGAAGGATTCGTTTCCGACCCCATAAACTATATATGTTCTTGATCAGCATTAACAGGCTATTCGTTCTTCTATGTCGGGTAGAAAAACATTTTTTTTTAATTTTTTCCAAAATTTAAAAATTTTATAAGAGGTTTTTCCAAAATTTAAAAATTTTATAAGAGGTTACGTCGTTAAATTTGTCAAAATTGGACAAAAAATTAAGTTTTTTAAATTAAAAAACTTAGTATACAGATTTGTTAACCATATAAAAACTAGCACAAAGGAGCTATCCGAATTGAAATTGATCCATTTTTGGCTAAGTTATGCTATTTGAAAAACTTTGATTTAACCAAAAAAATAGCATATACAAATATCGATTTAATACAACTGGAACTTACATATTTTAGTTTCTTAGAGGTACGCAAATGCCACATTGAATAATTGATTAAATACATTAAAATATAAATCCAAGACAAGCAGTGTGTTCTATTTTTTTCTATCCATCCATCTATCCATTCCTTCTTAAGTTGGTAAACTAAATTTAAATAATAATAAATCTATTTGAATAGAATACTCCCAATGGTAGTCCTTTATTTCAAGGTGGCATATATTTAAAAACGGTCCGGATACATAGATGTTTTAGAAGTCATTTGTAAACTTATGTAAAATGTATTCAAACAAAGAATAATAATGCATATTGCAAATACCCGTAATGATGCACTTTTCCAGTATTATGCATAGTTTTGTTTACCACTGCACGTCTGATGTGGGAATAAAAGGGGAGTTCAATATTGATGTCTACAATTACCTAACTATTTAACCAAGGTGCACCTTAGCAAACGAGTTGCAAAATTGATGAATGTGAAGAGCAACTAAGTTAATACCATGGCATTGCATATAAATAGCCTCCATTTGGATTGCAGAAGTAGTTCTGGTTCCAGCACAGCAAAGCAAAAGCCAATAGAATCACCATGCAGTTGACCACTTTCCTGATGACCCTCCTGGTGGTTGCCATGCTCATGCTCTTCAGTGCTCCAGCATCTGAGGCCACCTTCCTGCTCATCGCCTGCATGCTGCGGTCTCCTCTGTGCCCATGGGTCACCACAGCCACCACCGCCTAAAGAATCTTGGTCTTCCTTAGCAGTTGGATTGGAAATCTTTGAATTAATATGGACTATTGATCGGAATAATATACAAAAATATAATTTTTTGTTGCATTAAAAAGATTTGATGAGTTTAATTTTCTGATTTATGTGGAAACTGCCTAAATATGGGTAAAGTCACAGGCTCTAGAGTAAAAAATAAATATTAACCATTCTTGATCGGCAATCGACCATAGAGTAAAGTCTTAATGTTTTATATAATTATATTAAATAGTTTCGAAATTTCCCATTTTACGTATTTTAAACTGCCTGAAAATAGCTTCGAAGTGTAATTATAATATAATATCAATATAAATATAGTTTTAAAGTAATAACATTCCTTTTCTCGCCTACTGTCTTGAGGGACACGAAAGAGCCTTGAAAATAGTGTAAGGATATTCATAGCAGCCTCGTGTCCAAAATGACAACACTCATTCTCATTCAAATTGTAACATATTTCAATTATATTTTATGTTTCTATTTATTGTTTGCTTGGCGGTCCACGCACATGATTGGTTCTCAATGTAACTAAATCCGATGATTGCCTTTTTTCGACCTTGAACACAAACTCTGTCCGAATTTATGTGTTTATTATCCGACACGAGGGAGACATTTCGGTGCATACTTTCTGGCGGGGAAGCCAATGAAATGGCGGAACCGGAAACAACTAACAGCGTTCTAGTGTTTGCTTAATTCCGTTTCTTGCGAATTTTATGGATGAATTTTATGCCCAAAAGTGTTCTTGCTCTGCGGCCACCAGGACATAATTTGTTGACATTTTCCCAACCAAGGTCTGACGTAAACAGGATATTTCCAGAAATTGTTTACGAGTGGAATTGATGGCGTCGAGCAACCGATTAGGAGACCGCTCGAAAGTCAATCAGAATCACTCAAATGGCCCGTATCCAATACGCAAAAATGATGACGCCATATGTAGCGACCAGGACACGATGGTACGGGATGGCTCATGGGAGTGCATAAATTTCGATTCGACATCGCTGAGTTATCGCCATCATTCGCACAATAAATGACAATATTTGGCTGCTGCAATGGCAGTTCAAGTTTTGCCTCAATAATCTGATACTGGAATGACAACGATTTATCTTTATATGGCGAGAATTTCGATTTGATTTCGCTCGTAAATCCCGGGTCCTGCCTGACCCCAGCTAGTTTTGTCACACTTAAAGCCAAAATATCAGTTAGTCAGAATCTTTAAGAACCATTTAGCAGCCACACGCCAAGGTCACACAATTGACTTGTCTGGCAAACTATTAATGCATTGTACAGGGCCCCATTGAGACGAGATAATGAACATCTCGGACGGATCGAGCAGACGTCCAACTTCTGGAGCTCTGGAACTGTAACAGCTGCAGGCGTTTAAATTGGCCATCCGAGCGGAGTTGGCTGCCAATGCAAGCCAAAGCCATCTCCATCTCATTTGGCCTTTGTCTATGCCCCTGTGTGCCATAAAGTTGGCTCCTCCGCCGCACTCTTCCGCAAAATGTGGGCACTTGAAGAAAATGCGAGTTAATAGAAAACTATAATTAAATAAAATAATAGAAATGGAAGGGTCTTAGAAACTTTAAAGCCTCTCTTCTGGCAAATAAATCTATTCAAGAATAATTATAATTCTAAATAAGGATAGCAATAAAGTATAAACATTCAAATATTGTACCTGTGGAAGGAGTAAATTAATAATTGAAATTATTTTTGTTACCAAAAACTATAAAATAATACTTTCTTAATATTTCTAAGTGTATAAACAATTGGCCCTTGGCCAGGCCAACTTATTTCGCCTCCTTTACCAACAAAAAGGCCGCTTGAGCAACTCGTTTGTAATCAAAATAAAAGCAGCTTTAAATTAAACGCTTTCACATTTATATTCCTACGAATTTATATCTTAAGTTTAGTTAAAGGCTCAGACACAAATTTTATAGCAGTTTAATTAAAAGCAATTAAAGTAATTAAGAGTATAGTTCTTATACAACTTGATAACTTTTATGGGTTTTATAGTTTTGATTGCCATTCATATGCACTTACACTGACTGCTCATTCGATAAAAAATAATTGCCGAGAGAGCACCATAAAATCCTAGTGTCAGTAGCCTCCGAAAAAATCTCACGTTCGAGTGTTTACTGTTTGCTATCACACATCTAAAGTGACAGTCATATGGCATATAAAGTCCCAATTTGCTGCTGGGACACTTTAACGACCGCAAAACCTGTTGAAGCGTATTGTAATGGATTAAGAATAAAATAAATGAATTGGCAACCTGACGAAATTACTTCATTAGCTGCTAATTGAATTGGATCTCCCGGCAGGTTGGGCTCTCTCAACATGATTAATATTGCACTTTGGCAGTGACCAGACAAAAAACACAGCAGACCTTGGGTCTGAATAAAAGACAAACCGAGAGACCCCAAAAAACGGGTGTTGTCTACCCTCGTTTATGCTATATGAATAGAGTCCTCTTTTTCCGGTCCGGCTCCTCCGCCTCCGCCATTAATCTCAATTTCAGAGGCAAACATTCAATCAACCCAAAGGCGGGCTAAAGGCGGCTTTCGTAATTAAAGGCACATTAAGCGCTCGTTAAACTTAAAGTGGCACTTAAAGACCTGGTTGGAGAGGACTCCACACCCATTTCCATGGCTCCTGCACAAGGAAAGGCCACGTGCGAATCTAAATGGTCTATGCAAATCGAGAACTATTGACAATATTATACGAATTTAAAGCGAAAAAATCGATTTAATGGAGCATGGACAAAAGTTTAAGGCTCACCAGTGTCAGCCATGTAAACAAGGAGCACATTCGACCACTTGAACAACATAAATTGGGGTTTGCTGGCTAGCTTTACCCAGAATTTAAGGAAAATATATTTTTAAATACAAAATAATTCGTTGAAGGCAGACTTTTCGCTGGAATTATTTGTAAAATTCTAATTCCTCTTCTAGAAGTAAATAAAAGCAAATTTAGCCACAGACGTGAAATAAAAAACTATGCTTTGGTAAAATCAAAAATAGAATTTCCAATTTTGTTGATTTCAATGTTTACCCATTAAGATTCTCCTCTTTTTACTCATCGAACTGAATGGGATATTTGTATTATTTTGGAATTCATTTAATAGTCTGTCTGTGAATGGCGCAACGCAAGCAGAAATATTTCAGTCGAAAAACAATTAATCGATTGAGTTCAGTGATGCAGGAAAAGAAAAATGTGTAAATAAACGAACGACGCCAATCAAATATACATACCCATAAATCCCATTTCAGGCGCAAAACCTTTGGTATTTAAATAGTTCTTGGGCCAAATCACTTGACCATCGCTGGCTTTGGTTGCATGCAGATTAAGGCTCTGAAAATCGTCCTTATGCCACTACTCGTATCTGTCGGATGCTGTTGCGGGGAGAGTATATAAAATTTATTCTGGCTTGTCGCTGGCCGTAAAATTGTTGGTAAAGAAGTGCCATAAAGAGTATTTAATGGCGCGACTGTCTGTAATTAAAATCCCACACGCGCTGTCGCCCTCAGACTTCTTCGGTATGGGCATGCATGGCGTATACGTGATGTGAGTGAACTCTAAGCTAAACTGCCCCTATGACTGTGACTTTAAAATGCAATTCAAGTACTTTAATTAAATTGCAAATTTGTATGGTAAGTGTGCATTCTTTTTGGTTTTCTACTTTTTTTTTGTTGTTTGTGCACATCTTTTTTTTGCTAGTTTTCCTGCTATTTACATCGCAACATTGTCTGTGGCCGGAAAATGACACTTGATTTATGGCCATTTGTTTTTCGCTTACCAAACAGGCTCATAAATACACCAAAAAATGACAAAACAAATAGTAAGGGAAAAATATAGAAAAATATTTGTTTAAATGGAAAAAAAGTTCTCATTTTTCTTTGATGCAGCTTATATAATGCATTTGATGTTTAAAGCAATTGTCCGAAACCAGAAACTAAAAGAGAGACACGGAGTTAACAGACAATTTAACTGCATTGCAATCATTGCGAAACTTTGTTCGTGCTCACGCTGCGTATACTTAATTTGCCTGCGGTAAATAATGGCAAAGCTATTTTGTTCGGATTTTGCGATTTCAGAGCGTAAGCAATATCCGTTAGCAGTTTTCCCTTACCACTGGCAATGCTTTTTCCTTGGTTTTCCCTGGTTTATGCCATGCGCCGAGCATTTGTCTTGGCCCGGCCGGAATGGCGGCCAACACCCCGATAAGCTGCTTTTATTGGCAAAGTTTGGATGGGGTGCTGCTTCGACACTTATTTGAATTTATATCCCAGCAAAGTGTTTGTCTGTTTTCACTGCGCTTGTTGCATTTTAATTAGAAACTACGATTCGCACGGCTTGGCAAATGCAATTTCAACTTTAATAGTAGGAATTAGAGTTTATAAAATAAGGGAAGAATAAATATGTTTCAATAAAAATGTATTACGCATTCAAAAAAGTTGTATTTTTGAGAAAACAATATTAATCAAGCATGCATTTTTATTGATTTAATACCCTTGAAGGCTATTGTTATTTTAGCCAGCAGCTTGTAAATAAGTGAAGGAGTCATTTCCGACCCTATAATTCATATATATTCTTGATCAGCATTAACAAGCTAATCTTTGTAGCTTTCTCCGGCAGAAAAACAACAATTTTAAAATTTTTCAATTTTTGCAAAAAAAGGAGTTACATCGTTAAAATTGGCAAAAATTGATAAAAATTAGTATTTTTTTAAATTTTAAAATAAGTATGCAAATTTATTAAACTATTAAAAACTAACACAGGAACGGTTTCTGAATTAAAATTAATGCATTTTTGGCTTCGTTATGCGATTTTTAAAACTTTGATCCTATAGTTCAATTTCAATGCAAATATAAAAATAAATAAAATAACAAGAAAGTTGTCTTTCTTTATTCCGTGAAGCTTTAATTTTTCCAACTGCCTTGAATTTCCCATAATTCTTAGATCCCCGATTATAGATTGCCCACAATGTGACATCTTTTGGCCACGCCTGTCCGAGCCGGCTGACAATTGTGGTGGGCGCATTCATTCACGCGAAAATTCATTAACATTTACAATCACTTCATTTTTAATGAACTGACAA